AACTTGGTTTTCTTCTTTTGTGTGTGTATATGTGTGTACGTATATACATGTGTTCCGCTGACAGCTGTATGGCCCTTGAAGGAAAAGTAGGAGAGAAAGGGAAAAAAGTCTGCTCCAAATTCCCAGACAATAGCTGTTAGTCAAAACTGCCTTTTGGGTTTGTTTTGGTTTGGTTGTTTTGTTTTATTTTGTTTTGGTCTGGGCATGGTGGTACATGCCTATAATCCTAGCATCTAGGAGGTAGGAGAAGAAGGATCAGGGGTGCAAGGTCATCCTTGGCTACATAGCAAGTTCAGGGTCAGCCTGGCTATATAAGACCCTGTCTTAAGAAAAAAGACAAACAAAAAGCCAAATAATGTATGTTTTTTATTTTTTTTTACATTTTGCCTAAATAATATGACATTAACTGAAATAACAAAGTTCATATGCTATAGTCTTTTCATGTGCATTGTAAATGTATCCACTTTATTTTCCTTAGATAAATCAAATCACTAATGTATCTCAGTATCTCAGCAGGAGATAATGGAAGAAAAGCAATAGACTGAACTATGTGGTACCAGGGCTCCAACACTGACTCCAAAACCAACTGTTGGCCCTATCTTTACATCTTTGTCATTAACTATTTGAGGGAAAGACTGGGCATGATTATTCAGCTGTTACATTTATTAATTTAACTCACTAGTGCCAGACTTGTGAAACAGAATGAGCATCAGACCTTGAGTTCTGCAAGATTGTTAAGCCCTGCAGCAATGAAGAGGCCTCAAGTTTATCCATGCTGACTTCCTTACCCGTAGATGTAAGGCTTTGTGGAGGGCAATCAGTGAGGAAATATTTGCATGGTCAATCTGTAGGACTCAGAGTTAATCTATAACTTCATAGTTGACTTTGAACCTACCACCAACAGGTGGTCTTAAAACTCAAAAGAGGTTTCCATCATAATTGAGACTCTAATTTGCTGGGTAGAAAACTTGGTTTTCTTCTTTTGTGTGTGTATTTGTGTGTGTCTGTGTATACATGTGTTTGTGTGTTTATGTGTGCATGTGCATGTAGAGGCCAGAGGTGAAGATTATAGGTCTTCCTTAATTGTTGTCCATCTTATTTTTTTAAAATAGTCTCTCACTGAACTTGGAGCTTGCCATTTCAGCTAGACTGGCTGGCCAATGAGCTCCAAGAATCTACCTGTCTCTGCTATTTGAGGGAAAGACTGGGCATGATTATTCAGCTGTTACACTTATTAATTTAACTCACTAGTGCCAGACTTGTGAAACAGAATGAGCTGGGACTACAGGCCACATGCAACAATACTTTACTTTTGTTTTGTTTTGTTTTCTTATGTGAATGCTGGGAATCAAGCTTAGGTCTCATGGTTGCCCAGCAAGCACTTTACCAGCTCAGCCATCTCCCAGCCCCCTTGGGTTTCCCTCTTGTGGAAGACCAGAAGACAACCTATAGTGAGTAAATGCAATAGAATCAAGTAGAGAAAACAAAGATGCTTGTATCTGGCATCGAGGAGCTTTGGCTAGTCCTTTTACCTCCAGACCACTAAGATTCCCAGCTACACATTAAGGTACTTCAATGAGCCTAAGAGTCAAATATTTTCTGTTTGGTGAACTACAGCAAAGGACAGCAATTCAATCCAGCCACTTGCTCCATAGATGAATAATTTATGTGGGTTTGGGGACCAAAGGCCCTATAAATCTGAGCTACAAAGACATGAAGGAATACAAATAAAAAGCTCATTGAACATTTCCTCTTGGGGTATTTCTTTGTGGAGTGTGAAGAACTTATATTCATCCTCTTCTCTTCCACAGACTTTGACTTCTAGAGTTCATTTTATTATGTTTAATTCATTTCCTATTTTTTCAGAACAGGGACTGGGTGTTTTTCCTCTTCCTATCTTCCTCTATTCCTTACATAAAACAGACATGAATTGTCCCTCTGTTGGATATACTTATTCATTCATGCATAGCAGCAGCAATGTGGTCCAGGGTGGAGCAAAGGAAAGAACATCAGAGTTAGAAAGTCTGGGCCTTGAACTCTGACTTCCTAACTATGTGATCCTGGAAAACTAAAGTGTCGTCTCCACCTCAGAATTCCAGGCCTGTGTGGCCTTTTCTCAGGTGTCAGTGGTAACTGAGCAATCTCACATAGAAACTATAAGATACAATGTAAGCAAAGGATATAAAGATGGAACATATCCAGGATTAGAGCTTCACCAAAAAAACTGACATTTCGGCCGGGTGTGGTGGTACACACCTTTAATCCCAGCACTCAGGAGGCAGAGGCAGGTGGATCTCTGTGAGTTCAAGGCCAACCTGGTCTACATAGTAAGTTCCAGGACAGCTGGGGCTACAGGGAGACCCTGTCTCAAAAAGACACCCCCCCTAGAAAAAAAAAACTGACAGCTCACAGCACAGCTTTGGAACTTGATCTCTACATTTTCCTGGTAAATGGGTTGTATCTATTCCCCAATTTCAGCCTATCTCCTAAATGATTTTAGGGTTATTTTCTCAGAGGGAGAATGATACAGCAAGAATAAAGACCTAATAAGGGAAAACTAGCTCCTTCTGTTCAAGAGGATGAAATCTCTGGCCTGGATGGAAACCTAACATTCCAGTCTACCTAAAACATAAACCAATTAATCCAGACCACCCCTCCGGAGGGTGGGACCGTCCTTAGGAAGACAGGCTTACCGCAAGCCATGCTAAAGAGATAGGAGTAACTATCCCTTTAGTGGGATTCTGTACCTTTCATTCCCAGAATTCCTACCTCCTCCCTCCCCAGCCTAGTCCCTCTAAGCCACCATGAGGTTTGGATGAGTCTGTCTGCCTCTCTGGGTCCTGACTCCAAAAGGTACAGCTTTTCTTTTTTTCTTTTTTGCTGTCTTCTCCTTTCCAGACGCTGGCCAGAACCGAAGTATGCTTTTTCTGGGATTCTAGGCGTCCATCCTTGTTCTCTAGAGCTCTCCTCACCACCAAGGGCTGCCTGATGTCATGTGCTTGATGGCCATCCCTGCTTAACTTGCACTGCATGGCTTCGCTCCTTCTCTTCTCTATTCTCCTCCTCCAGACAGCTGCTGTGATTTACAGCATGCCTGCCCTGAAGTTTTTTGTTAATAAAATTGTCCTCTTTGAATTCAAAAAAAAAAACTAAGTCTTAGGAAAAAGACTGCGCGAACATGCAAAAAAATATTGATTAGTTCAGTTACAGTCCTGGGATTGCAGGTGTGATTTGTTTTCTATCAGTACTCTGTTTTTCAATGTTTTGAATCATGGTCCTCTTACTCTGAAGGGAAGACTTCCTTTTGAAATGTAGTATCTTACTATTACTAGCTAGAACCTGTTGATTGCCTTGGAAAGCCATCCCTTCAAAGCTCTCCTCTCCCAAGGCCACTCCCCAAACCAACGCTGCCGCATCCGGCCTTGTTCCTGTTCTGCTCTGCATCCGCCCTGCGCTCTGAGACCAACAGGGCTTCTCTCAACTTCGCTTTCACCTCACTCAGAAACCACTGCAGGCTTTCTTCTTATTGGTTCTTTTCACGTGAGAACTAGCCCCTCTGCCTGATCTTCGTTTCCATGGTGGAATGACCACATGCTTCTTCCAGCTCTCCCAGGCTGTCTTCAGCCCCACTTTGCCCCATCTCCCACACTAGTTTTAGGTGCCACTGCAGAGAACATTCCACAGTCAGCCAGCGTGTGTAGTTTAACTTTCACGGTGTCCTCTAGTCTTGAAAAATGCAATGCCACATAAAATCCAAATGCCCACTTTTTTTGTCAAAGATAGTATCTGCTAGCCCAAGTCCTTTGTTCCCTGAAGACTAACAGTGTGGTAACAACTGATTAGAGCCTGACAGCAAGTGCCCCCTTAGATGGGGCCAGCAGTCCCACCTCTCAAAGCAATCCTCTGTTGGCACCTTTGGGAAAGAGGAAGCACTTCTTCCTCCAGGCAGAGGCAGTCCCTCCCAGAGTGCACAGCTGGGCACATGGAGTGAAGGCTGAAGAGAGTTCAGTCTGTCACTCCCATCCAGCTGGGCACACTTGCTAAAGGTCCAGCTAGCATGATATAGGCATCGGCTCTTCCCACTCAGTAACTGCAGGGAAACACCTGGTCTGGGTTGACTCACAAACTACAGCACCCAGAAGAGCAGCAACCAGACTTCTGCTCTGTTTATTTCCGGTGTTCTCAGTTCTGCCACCTGCTTTGTCCCCCATACTACCTTTGTTCTGTTGCAAGATGGCAGCCAGTAGCTAAGGGTGTGATCTGCTGCCTTTCTCTTTATCTGAGGACAGAGAGAATATCCTTTCGTGACTTTCAAACGAATGTCTGAGCTATGCTCCCAAGAAATCATCCCAAGCCAATCACTTCAGGCTAGGAGAATACTCAGCACTGATTGGCTCAGGGTCAGTTCCTTGAAATTTTATTATGGCAAGACAGGTAGTGATTCAGTTCTCAATACAGGTGCCACTAACATTTTGGCCAGGATATTACTCAGCTGTCCCCTACTGATGCATCTCATTGTAGTACATTTGAGAGTAAATTTGACCCCACCCATCACATGCCTGCTCTGCACATCAATCCTGAGAGTACTAGCAATGCCCATACACTAATTTAACCCTGACACTTCTTCGTATAGAGCCTGGCTGAGCTGGATGGTTTACTATGCACTGAGAAGGGGTGGACTCTGAAGCTAATAGGGGTCTGGGGATGTGCCTGTTGTCTTAGCACTTGGCAGACTGAAGCAGGTAGATGGATTATGAGTTCAAGACCAGCCTGGGATATATAGAGGGGCACTGTCTCAAAGTAAATGATATATAAAGAAATATCGGACTAGCTTTTAAAAAAAACAAATGTCTTGTCATATTAACAATATAGAAGAATAGGAATGAATTCTGGGTGGGCATCTACAAACGTTCACTTCACCGTCTATGTTGGAAAGATGTTTAAAACAATGGAATAACAACTATGGATGCTAAAATAATTAACATGTTAACACCCTTCAGATGTGCTCCTGGTTACTATGGAAACCCCTTACTTGTGGGAAGCACCTGTAAGAAATGTGACTGCAGTGGAAATTCAGATCCCAATCTAATCTTTGAAGATTGTGATGAAATCACTGGCCAGTGTAGGAACTGCCTGCGCAACACCACAGGATTCAAGTGTGAACGCTGTGCTCCTGGCTATTATGGAGATGCCAGGACTGCCAAGAACTGTGCAGGTACAGAGCCAAAACCCTCAGCAATGTGGCCAGCATTGTTCTCTGTCAGTACTGAATTTAGATAAAGAGTTTATCTTGGGGGAAATATTGCAAGTGCTCTCTTGACACTTTTCTAGGGCAATGCATAGTGTGCATACAAAATTTACCAGGGCTAGACATTTTTGTCAAGGCTACCGATGAACCTTGGCACATTGGGAGAGTGAAACAAGAGGCATCGACACATTACATTCATCTTTGCAGTTCTGATTGAAGAAATAACTCATATCTTGAAGAATTACCTATCAATGACCAGAGAACTCAATGAAATCTTGTGTGGTTCAAATCTGGTTTTTTTGTTCTGGAAGCTGTGTCTCATCTTTCAGTTATGCTTAGTAAACTGATATTTCAGAGAAGTGAACTAGCAAACCAAAGATACAGTTCAAATCACACACACCCCTCAATTCTTCAAATTATCAGGGTAAATACTTCAGGGATAGTGTAAAAGATCTTTCATGTTAAACTTCATTTTGATTGACATGTATACATCTTATTCTTAATTTTTCCAATTCATTTGCTGCATAGATTGAAGCTCTTCCCAAGTAAAGTTCAGTTGCTTTCCGTCAGGAGTAAAGGGAACCAAAACTGAGTATTTTTACCCTTATGTGACTTTGAGGAAGGAAGGGAGAGAATCCCTACTGGACTCTGTGGCGTGCTTTCTGGGAAATCCCCTGGTTGAAACAGTCTCACTTGAAAGAAACTACAAAGTGAAGAATTTTGTTTTGTTTTACTTTGCTTCACTTTACTTTGTTTTTGTTGGGTTTGGGGTTATTTTTGTTTTTCTTTCTTCTTTTTCCTTTTTTTTTTTTTGACACAGTGTCTCACTGTGTAGCTCCATCTGGCCTGGAACCCACTTCATAAACAAGGCTGGCCTCCAACTCACAAAGACCCACCTGCTTCTGCCTTCTGAGTGCTAGGATTAAAGGTGTGCCTCACCATGTCAGCACAAAGAGAAGAGTTTAAAATTGAGAAGGGTGCACATATGATTTGACCAAATAGACATGTGTGTGGACAAAGAATGAGAGCAGGAAGAAGGGAACGCTGTGTGCAGTCAGACCAGAAAGAACAGCATCAGAAGTGCAGCGGCATTTGGGGGCCGGAGAGATGGTTCCACAGTTAAGAGCACTAGCTGCTCCTGCAAGGGCAGGAGCCTAGCACCACATGGCAGCTAACAACTATCCATAACTCCAGTTCTAGAGGATCTGATGCCCTCTTCTGACCTCTGTGAGCACTGCATGCATGGGTGCCCTTACATACATGCAGGCAAAATACTCATACAAATAAATAAATAAATAAATAAATAAATAAATTTTTAATCTTTATTTACTTGTGTATATGTGTACATGATAATTATAAATAAAAGTTTTTAAAGAAGTGTACTGGCAAAATAAAAGCCTGAGAAATTGACGTCTTTATTCTTAAGAAATCTGCTAAACCTATATTTAAATAACAAAGATGCAGATCACTCCTAGAAGAAAAACTATGGGAAGCAATAAAGCATGACCTTGAAAATGGTTTAATAAATCTGCATTTTTTGTAACATTACAAGCTGAACTGTAATAATTGATGTCCCCTTTGGAGCTAATTTTTTATAATTATTCTTTAAGGCAGCTGAGAGATGGTGGAAAAAGCTCATAGTTCCATTCTAGCCAATGACTGGCTAGCAGAGATAGCTTAGGAATTCCTCTTCAAATATTACATATTTATTTCTACATGAAAACTCAGAGGAGAGTCTGGAGTATAGCTCAGTAGTAGAACATATGGTTGCTTTCATCCCTACTGTTCCTCTCCCCCACACACAAATTAAGAGTGGAAAATTAAAAGTCTGATAAGATTGAGTTTTGTCCCTGTTGTTATTCAAAAGGCATTACTGAAAATCCTCAGTGGGTAAAGATGAGCCCTCGGGCATTTAAAATTCATTTAATATGTTCCTAAGTCATTCCCTGGAATTAGTCCTATGATCCCCTGATAGCTCTCCTTTGGAGGCTTGGAGTCTGTCTTGCCAAGGGTCAAGTGCTTGTGAGCCAAGAATTGCTCCTGGGCCTCCTCAGTCTCTCCTCTGGGGCTATTCTCCCCCACCTGGCAGGGACCAGCCCTACTGTTGGATTCACAGAGATTCTGAGCAGTGAAAGGAAGGCTTTTGATTTCAAGGTGAATGCTGAGTTCTGTGATCATTAAGTCTCCTATGAAATTTCCCTGAGTATTTAAAGAGTTGGGAGAAGAATCCTAGGACATGGAGATTCCATTTTGCCTCAAGGTCACATTTGAACCTCTCACTTGTTTGAGCTGAACTGGCTAAAGAGCACTGCCTTGATATCACAGATTCCACAGTTTTAAGGATGAATACAATTAAAACCTACTGAATAATCAGTATTTCTGGGAAAATATTGCCCTATTTTAAGCTTTTGAAGATGACTCCCTAATCTCTTGTTTTTGTTTCCCACAGTGTGCAACTGTGGGGGCGGCCCATGTGACAGCAGAACTGGAGAATGCTTGGAAGAAGGTTTTGAACTCCCTACAGGCATGGACTGCCCAACCATAAGTAAAAATAACAGTACATGAATGACTAACCCACTTTCTCTAATGTGCTGCAGGTGTGGGGTTAAGAGGAGCCATTTTAATCAGAAATTTTTTTAAGATGGAAGGAAAGATCTGACTCCCACAAACTGTCCTCTGACCTACAGAGAGAGAGAGATGCACATCACACGTACCTGCACCAACACCCCTACCTCAGACAGCACATAAAATGGATCCCTCTCTGTTCACCATCAGATTCTAGGCTCTGCTCCTCCTGCCCTCCCACCACTAAAGGACAAACACCCTGCTGTCACCTGGAACCAGTCCACCCATAATGCACTGGAATCCACTAAAAGTTATTAAGAACCATCTTATATCACTCTCTCTAGAAACTGCTTCAGTCTCACCTCTGGATAAAACACTGTCTGCAACCCAGGCTAATGAACCCTGTACAAAGCTCCCTGGTGGTCTGCCCGATGTTATTCAGCAGTTAGATGGTTTATGCTGACATAACTCCACTTTAGGATGTCTACTTATCAAGTCTTCAGGTTCAGCATCAGGCTCCCAAGGGCACAGCTCAGTCTCCCTGCACTGGCTATCCAGCTCCTCAGATAATATGATCTACAATGCTTTATAGCACCTATAGTCACTGAGACACCAAGACCCATAAATAGCTTTCTCCAAGTCATTCCAAATCTGAGGTATGGCCAGAAATGAAACATCCATGCATTACAAAATGGAGTTGCCTTCTTTCTTTCCTGATTGCTCTGCCTTTCATGAGCAGTAAATCATGAACAGTTATACCAGAAACAAAACTTTGGTCTCAAAGAATATTTTAAAAGTAGGCAGCCCCTCCCCCAAACCAAAGTGTGTTGGTCCCAAAGTCCTTCTGGCAGGAGAGATTGATATTGCCAGTGTATTACATCTTAGAAGATGCCCAGCAGGGCAAAGCCTGCACAATTATCAACTTGACAGTTCCCCGGCCAGGTCCACTGAAAGACATCAAGATTCCTGCATAGCCCTAAGCTTCTCCTTCGGGCAGCCTGATGTGCTGGCTGGGACTCATTGCCTAAAAGAGCTCATAGGCAATACCATATAGACCTTCCAATAACAAATTAACATATTAACACGCATTAATCCTTTAGTCTCTGTCAGTTCTCCAGCAGACTGCCCTGCCTGAGGGAGAGAGCTTAGAAACTGGCAAAGTGCAAAGGGAGTCAAGACAGGGTTTGGAGCTTGGTGTACAGTACTTCTGAGTGTGTCCATGGAGGACCATTGTGTTTTAGGGGCGATCACAGTGTAAAAGGTGACCAGCAATGAGAAACGGAGGCCTGTATCTCCATGTGCCCAGATTCAGCCTGAACTTTGGCACCACCTTCAGAGACCAGGTCACAGCATTAGCAGATGGTACCCTACAAACCTGCTTCAGATCTGGATAAGTAGGGTCAGGGGAGAAGCCAAATCCTCCCTGGGGGAGGCAAAGGCAAGTGTTGGCATTCCAGTGCTGTAGGAAAGGCTGACATAGAAAGAAAGATGCCTGATCACTACCCTGCTGCCCCCAAGCAAGGGATGGAGCAAGAGACAGGAGCCTGACAAGAACAGATGTTTCCCCGGAGCTCCCCACTACTAAGAAGAAGTGACTTCTCCTTGCCCACTCATGTCATGGCGGTCTTGGCCTTTGTGCTTCCTTTCTTGTGAGAAGTTAGTGTTCCTGTTAACCTAGTCCCTATTTATTACGTTCTAAGTGGGACTTGTTCCTGATGTAGTTTGCTGGGAAAAAAAGACTAGTTCTATATGGCCCAGATCAGTTCCTCAGAAAACAAAAATAAACATGCTATTAGTCAAGACGTGCACATCCATAATCCACATAAAGTCATATGCTTCCAGGCTGACTTTTGACTCTGGAGAAATGGCATGCCCGTTTCATTCACAGGATGTGATAAGTGCATCTGGGACCTGACCGATGACCTGCGGTTAGCTGCACTCTCCATCGAAGAGAGCAAATCTGGGCTGCTGAGCGTGTCCTCTGGTGCCGCTGCGCATAGGCACGTGAACGAAATGAACTCCACCATCTACTTCCTCAAAGTATGCAAGATGTGATTTCAGCTGTGTTTTTACTCTAGTTTCACAGGCTCACTCCTACCAACTTCTGTGTCCTTTCGTATCTGAACCCCCTAGCTATATTACAGATTGTTGGACCTGCAGGTCTGCCTCGGATAATCCATAGCTCCATGAGAAACTATGAAAAGTTCACTGTAACTATGAGCTTGTGCCTCAATCAAGAGCTGCCAACTTATGTAAGAGAGTATATGGTAACTGAAATAACTAAAAGATGGGTATCTATGTGAGAAATGGTTAAAGGAAAAGCTCCTTTCCTCCCGGAAGCTGCACACTGGGCCTAAAAGTGATTTCCACAAGCCTCTCACTATCATTAGTTTTGACTGCAAGATTTTGAGGAGCTTCTCTAGAAACTTCCCTGTCTCTTTTTCTTCCCTACCTTTCCTTCGCACTTTTTTGCTCTCACTTTTCAAGTCTTATACATGAAGGATCTTATATATCAAAACTTTAAGAGGCCTTCTTCCTGTAATGAACTTCCATCACAACCAACAGATATTTTTATAAACAAGAGCGTTCACTGAAAAGACCTCAGTCTTAATAGCAGCATGTTGTTTTATTTTCTTAGTCAAGTTAACATAATGCTTAAGAGCATAAACTTTAGATTACTTTGATCCTCCTCCAGGTCAGACACTTGTTATATGACCTCAGGTAAATCATTTAATCTCTTTGTTCTTCAATATCCTCATCTGGAAATGAGGAAATTATGACACCTATCTCACGGATTATTAGGAAAATTCGTTGAGATATGTAAAGCAGTTTGAGCAGTACTCAGCAGAGTAAGTATTCATCACTGTTTGGAGGTGCAAATAATATCCACAGCAATTGGCTGAAAGTGTGTGGTGCAAACCAAAATAAATGTCCTAAACTATAATGTGGGGCAGACTCGGCATTTAGAATTTGTTTGCCAAAATGTCCCTTCATGGACACATGAGAGTGCTAATTCTCAAATAAGTCACCAAGACACTAGGCTCAACTCTCTCCTTAAGCCACAGCCTCACATGGGTATCACCACAGCTTGGCAGCAAGGCTGTGCCAGGATTAAAGGACTTAATACAAAGTAGCCCCAGGACAGCCTCATTTATACCAAACTCCTCAAAAGTGTGAAAGGAAGGGAGCAGTGGTCCAAAATAAAGAGAATTGACCTCTTTACTCCAAATGATGAAAGTGTACTCCTGAAATCCATCTTCATTGATCCTGGTGATTGATAGAGTCCTCCAAGACTTGACCAGATTCAAATTTGCCAGACTTCCAGGGCCACTACCAACCTAATGATACCTTTCTGACAAATGGAAAAAGGTGCTCTTTCCCTATGGCCAGTCAAGAGCCCAATGGGGCCTCTGAACAGTATTGAGTGGAGCTCAAACAGTTTTAGCCCCAGGAGCCTTAGTCCCTCCTGCAGACTGATCCTTCACTGCAGCAGCCTGTGGACTCTCTGTTGAGAACAGATATCACAGCCTACCTCAAATGTTCTTAAGCTGAAAAAGTATACATTCTTTAAAACACAGTGTTAAGGGAGTTGGGGAATTGGAGAGATGGCTCAGCAGTTAAGAGCATGTACTACTCTGGCAAAGGACCGAAGTTGGGTTCCCAGCAGCTGTGTAATCAGCTTGCAAAACCTGTAACTTTAGCTTCAGGGGACCCAACATCCTCTTCTGGCCTTTAGGAGCACTGCATTCATGTGCACAAACCCACACTCAGATAAGCATGTATACACATAATTAAAAAATAAAAATATTTTTTAACCTGGTGTACAGATTTACTGATAATTTCCAAAACATTTATTTCCACAGACAAGGTTGTCAGAAAGAGAAAACCAGTATTCTCTAAGAAAGATTCAACTCAGCAACGCTGAGAGCACAGTGAGAAGCCTTCTGTCTGATGTGGAGGAATTAGCTGGAAAGGTATGTGTTCCATTTCTGGGGCTGCCTTCAAAAACCAGGGTCACAAACAATGAGGTTTAACAAAGGCCAGTAAAAGTTCAGTGGCCCATGTGTGTTAAAATAAATCAAGGCCAGTTCCACAGAGAAAGCTAAAACAGAACACCTTTGTCATTTTGATAGGTTTTCTTGAAAAACTGTGTATATGGGGAACTTTCTGTGCGTTAACTGCTGATTAATATAGTTGGCGTACGCTGCAGCTAGGATAGTCATTCAACAGTTTGCCTTAGTGTTTTAAGCACAAGCTCTATAGGGCATCCAGAAATATGCTTTATTATATAAAACAAGCACTTTACATTAATAAAGGAGGTATTAAGTACAAAAATAAAAGAAAAAAAGAATTGTACTGAGAAAGCAATTTTATAAGATGATTGAAATAAAGTCACTTTCAAGATGGCAAGATGACTCGGTATGTAAAAGCACTTGATCAAATAAACAAGCTTGACAGCCTGAATTTGATCCCCAGAACCAATGTGGAAGGGGGGAAGGAGACAACTGACTTCAGAAAGTTGCCTTTATGCCATAGAACAACATACACACACACACACACACACACACACAGATACACACACACAAATACTACCACTACTATTACTACTACTAATAATAATACATTTTTAGAAAAATCAATTTCTGCATTCATGTTATAGACCATTTACTAAAATAAATTCCAGACAGATTAAAAAGTCTCAGTAAATTTCAAACCCACAGGAAAATAAAACCAAGGAATTATTAACCCTCAAAAGGAAAGAGCAATATACTTAAATAAATTGTGAAGAACTATAATAAAAATAGATTTGACAAGACAAAATTTCAGTACTTAAAGAAACACTTAAATAAATAAAAAGTCAAGTAGACTGAGAAAAATATTCAGAGAAATGTGACTTATAAAAATTCTCACAGGCTGGGCCGGAGAAATAACTCAGCAGTTAAGAACACTGGCTGCTCTTGCAGAGGATCCACACGGTGGCTCACAACCCTCTGTAGCTTCAGTTCTAGAGAATTCAACACCCTCTCTGGACTCTACAGGAGCCAGGCACTCCTCAAGGTACACATACATACATGCAGGTAAACATGCATAAAATAAATTTTAAAAAACAAAACAACAACAACAAAAAAAAACTCTCACAGGCTAACAAGAAAAGCACTCACTAGGAGCAGAGGTTATGTGAGAGACTGTTCAGTGATCTCTCCAGGAACCTGATAAAAAAAATCCATTCATCCCCCATAATGGTCAAAAAATACAAACTAATTTACAGGGTACCATATTTGTCCTAATAACTGTTTAACATACCAGGCTTTGTGGTATACCTATAATCCCAGCACTTGGAAGGCAAAGGCAAGACAATTGTGAGTTTGAGACCACTGAGCTACACAGTAAGAACCTGCCTCATGAGCATAAATGTTTAATGCAGTTTTCCCTTTAATGCTCTACCATTGCTGGTCCAAGTTCTCTGGAACTATTGCTTTTGAACATTGGTGTTAGACATAATAAATTGCCAACGTTCCCTTCAAAATAATTCTTATTTTCTCAGAAAAATAGTTGGAGATATATCTCAATGGTAGAGTATTTGCTTAGTATGTATGAGACCTCAGATTCAATCCCCAGCATGGGGGAACAGTAAAATAAAAAGCAAATGTGAAACCTACTCTGGTATTCTCCTTTGAATTATTATCTCCCAAACTTTTATAAGATTATGCTTCTAAAAATGTAAATGACTCTAATTGTGCCCCTGGAAGATTCACCTTCCTTAAAAAGTGCAGAGAAATACGCCCCTTGTTCCTATACAATGGCACGTTTTAATCTAGCCACTAAGATTTGACAAGTAGGGAGAGTTTCAAATGAAATAGACAGGATATTAGTAAGATCTTATTGTTAATTCATTTGAGTGCCATGGCTGGAGCTTGTTAAGGTATCTTAATTCTAGAGGAGTGTTTTCAGATACATTAGACAGTGCCACAACTCAGACTCTTGTTGTGCAGGTTTTCCTGCTTTTAATATATTTAGAAGGAGGTTTTTATAGAGAATAAATAAAAGAAACTTGGAAGTGACATCACAGTGGAAAAAATTCATAGGAAACAAGGAACAGACCACCATTGGGGAGAAATGACTAGAACTGTTCAATTGTTATTGAAAATAGCATCTGACTGTGACAGTCTTCAGGCTGCAAGACCCCACAGAACATTTCAAACAAATTCCCAGAGCTGGTACTAATGATTTCTCAAGAACCCTTCAAGCCCCGCGCCTAGAAAAGTCCAGGACTGATTCTAAGGATTTAAGGAAAACTTTGCCTTAGAAAGATCTGCACCAGGAGACTAACTAATACTTGGCCTTAAGTAGAGAAAAGGATTTCATTGCATGTTCCCACACTGATAAAAATGGCAGTAATATGGCCTGAAACTAGACAAGTAATACCTCTGTTTGGAAGTTAGCTATCACATGGGTCCCATGTGGCCCAAATTTCATAAATTATAAAATGTTGAAAGTTACTGGGTGGTTGTTGGTTTTTTTTTCCCAATCTCCATATCTGAGTCTTCCAGCCTCTATCTGGAAATCCCTAGTGCCCTTTGATATCATTAATTTCTGGGAATGCCCTGAAAGATGCCTTGTATCTATGCCCACAAAAAGGCTGTGCTGTAAAAGATCTCCTTGTTGCCACCCCCTTGATCACACCTGTACAGAAAATATAAAGAACATGCACTCACATGTTCTCAGGCCTATCCTGCTCAAGTAGAACATGTTGGCTTACATGCAGGGGTGGAATGGCAGTTAGCTCCCACTCTTTGGGTCTTCAAAGTCTGCTGCGGATCCCATAGTCACAGAGCCCAGACTCCACTCCAGTCCTTCAGTTACACAAATCCCCCTACATATCAGCTCATGCAAAGACATTATAAGGGAAGCTCATCGAAAGCATCTGGGCCTCTTCACGGATCCTGACAAAAAGACAGAAAGAAAAACCATGCTCCTATTCCAGAAGCATTACTGAAAATCTCTCGTGTCACAGCTATTGTGATAAGTGATGAGTTCTGAAGTGACTGAGACCCTCCCTCCACTCAAGACGCTCACTGTCTAGTAAGAAAGAGATTCTTTTTTAAAATAACACACCATTTAGCAATGGGGTCCTGCTACAGGCTAAAGGGTAATGAGTTCTAAGGAAGAATAATGAATCCTTTCATTAGGGAGGGTAAATACTGGCTTGTGTTTTGAGGATGACTAGGAGCTTACCAAGAATTTCCAAGCAGGGGTAATGTCCCACAATGCAAAGATGTGAGCAACATGATACATTCTCGGTACTGGAAGAATTCTTTACCTTGGCCTTGCAGATGACCTAAGTTTAAAACAAATAGGCAGGATATGACAGGTGAAGAATTCATCAGTGGCTAGATCATGAAGAAACTTGGCCAGCAGGTCCAGGAACATGTGGCTCTCAACTGTGAGTCATTGAGGTTTTTACCCAGAACAGCTGATCAGGTTTGCATTGCAGATGTATTCTTTTACAGAAGGAAGGGCAGACTGGCCAGTGAAGACTGAGGTTTAGGACACAACGGGAGACTGCCACAGTAGACACAGAAAGGGAATGTTTGGTTGCTGCCTTGACTTCACTTGAAAAGGATTTTCCGTGAGCAAAGATGTCCTGACAAACTGTAGAAATGTAGAAGAGAATCAAGGATAACAAATGGTATAAAATAGGCTGCATCCACTAACAGGTCACAAGGATCAAGGAGGGAAGTTCTGTTTGGGAGGCTGAAAATGCAGAATTACTCTGGATGTTCTAAGAGTGAGGTATTTGTAGATGTCCACTGTTCAGGTCTGAGAAAGCATACCAATATTCCAATTACTTCTTTGTCCAGGATAATCTTCATTTATACTTGGTCCCAAAGTAATCACTGAAACTTCCCCCTTTAAATCACAAAAGAATTCCAATTTAAACAATAAAATACATGGTGACCGTATGTATTGGTTATCAGAATCACTTAATCTAGTTTTTTTTTGTTATGCATCATATCATCCCAAAATCTTTGCTTTTATATCAAATAAGCACAATTAGAATTCACTTTTGAGGTTAGTAAATGATTAATATCTGTAAGGTGTAAATAATCAACCAGTTTATAGCAATGAGGTAATGTTTTAACTGCAGCGTTTCTTGAAAAGCAATGCACACCTGTTTTATCTTGTGCCCATACCGTTATTTTCCTCCATGAGCGCAGTTACAGGAAAAAAGTTAAAACTACAAATAAGATGTCTCTATATACTAGTATATTTAGTAATTTTTCAACTTAAAGTTGAAAAAGTGGATCTTTTCTATTTGTGTGTCTATAAAAAGGTAGCAATAGATCTCACAGCGCCCTCTGGTGTTTATTAGAAAGAAGTTTTCTTCTAGGTGTGGCATCCTCAAGTTTCCATACCAAAAAATAAGTTTAATAATAAAGAAATAACAAGATCAGAGTTTTTTTAAAAAATAATGAGTCTCATACTTTATAAATATAATTCTATTAAAACAGGATCAAATTTGAACTTGTTTAATTTCTTTTAGTGCACTGCATGCTGTGTCTGTATGTTTTAAAAGCAGAGAGGTACCAAGAATGTTTCATTTTATTTTCTACATCATCTAATTTTAAAATGATCATCAATATTATTTCTTCAGAAAGATTAGAACAAGCCAAGGAGAAGACTGGAATTGGGGGAAGGGCATGATGACTCAGAAGACAATGTCTCAGGAAATCCACTGCTTGCAAGGAGTCTGAGAACCACATTTCCTGAGCAGTAGAGCTTCATGACTCCAGCAGCTTTGAATTGTGTGAAAGGATTACCGATTTGCTTGATAAAATGCCTCCAGAAATATGTTTTCCATGATCTCATTTCTTCGTTCTCTTCTTTAAGCCATCATACAGGGACACTTGCTTGGTTTATACCTAGAAAGAGTAAAAAAACGTTGCAGGCACTATCATGCCACAATCCTTTGGATAGAACATTGCCTGAAAGCAGAAAGATTTGGAACAGCTACCTCCTCCTGTCCTGGAGAAACTGCTCAGCATTCTGTGTGGCAGACCAGCCTGCAGACCATCACAGCACTTTGTTACAGAACTAGGCCAAGAAAGCACTAAACAAGGCAAGCGGGCACTTTACCAAATCCAGGCTGAAGAACTCCTCCTCCTAACTATCCATCTAATGCCTAAAGGAAATACACATTATTCATGCAGGGCACTGTCCTGACCTTGAACTAAGTGACTTGAACACAAGTGCCATCAGTGTTGATGGGAAATTGGAATGAAGCTCTGAAAACAGCAGGTAGTCCACTGCATAATCCTTTAAGTCCCTACAGTAATTCAGTTCAGCAGCAATTGGACCACCCAGGAGCCACTGGATATATGGAGATTTCAAGATCTACCCTCTTTCTAGATGATTTCCTCTTTGAAGCTTAAGCGTACCAATCAGACCAATGTCAAACATGGTCTGGCATCTTGAGAGATAGTTAAAAAGAATTGAAAGGATAAGATACATGTGACAGGCAGTTGATTTGGGTTGAACTGTGATTTGTGCTGAGGTAATGCATTTAATTTTTATAGCATTCTGGGATCCTAAATCCGGTCATCACTCAGTCTTCATGCATGATTTCTGGGATCATTCTGTATGCCACAGAACTTGCACATGCCAGAAAAATTTATGTTTGTAATATATGTCTTATACCCTTACCCTCATATATTAACATATAACATTAATTTAGTGTTCATTCGGATTATTTGTAGGGAAGTCAAGCCTCAAGAAAGGGGCAACTGGTTCAGAAGGAAAGCATGGATACCATCGATCATGCAACTCAGCTTGTAGAGCAAGCCCACAGCATGAGGGATAAAATCCAAGGTAAGTATCTTCCCTTCTGGTGCAATTTAGTGTCAAGGAAACACACGCTACATGAATGGCAATAAAAGCATGGTTATTGTCAGTGATTGCTGTGTCAGGAGCATGTTGTTCAAAGTGTTCCTGGTTTTAACTTACATAGCCTTCCTTTCACATTTGTTAATCTGAAATTTTTGAACCCCCATTCCTATTTATCTGTTGATGTTCAAGAATAAATGCACAAAATCACTTTCTAGGCATTTCATAGAAGTTTAATGTTGGATGCCTTTCTAGCAGGAGAAATCCTATGCTGTGGTATCTCTAAAGTGGAAGAGCTTAGTAGGGGGTCACACATTTTTTTCAGTTATTTGCAGCTCACAAAATATGCCTTTAGAATGAGAGAAAACCAATCCAAATAGTCATAAGCTGTTTCCATAATGCCCTTCCCTGAGGACCAGGTAGACAAGTTGCTCAAGTCTACAGTGTAAAAGAAAAGAGAGGAGGGGCTGTGTGAGAGTCCCTGCCCTACAGCTCTGTGGCAGAGTCCACCTTCCCTACTGCAGATTTACTCATCTGTGCTCTGACTTCTGCTAAGCACAGGCTGTAGCTTGAAGATCTTAATAGTGCTCTGAAAGCTGCCTTCAATTTCCTTACAGAGACTGCATTTATTTTAGGATAAATAGTGTTTTCTTGGGTTGGAGTCTGCTAAGATCTAGTGTTTGTGTTCCCATGGTTTTATATTATGCTATATATTAAGAACTGGATGACAACACCAAGTGCATCTCAGGGCACAATGACAGTAAAGGGACCCACAGTGAGACATTCATATCTTTGTACTGAGTATCAGGAGCACATTCCAGGCAAAGGGACGTATAAAGCCAAGATTAATCCTTTGCTGCATTCCCTTCGGTGCCTATAAAGCACAGTAAAACAAATGCATTTCAAACGCCCCACTCCTGTCCTCACTAGCTCATGTGTTTGCATTTACTGATAAAATATTCTTTTCCTATGGCATTGTAGAGTTACTATTGATTTGTTCAAACAGTGAGCTTGAACCTAGAAGATTCGATGACCTCATCCAATTAAGAAATAAATGTTCATTTACGCAGCAAAGTCAAGATCCTACTAAGCCATTCAGAGGAAGTAATTCACCTTTGCTTTGTTTCATACCCCAGACTTTGCTTCTAAAGTGTTTCATTTGAAAAGAATCTGAACCTTCTTATTTGACCCTTGGTCATGGAAAAAGATGAAAAAATACAAAAGTGGAAGTGGGAAACAGTAACTTTTATCAGTTTTTAATCTCTTTAAAATAATATTTGAAGCCGGGTATGGTGGCACACACCTGTAGTCCCAGCACTCGGGAGGCAGAAGCAGGCGGATCTCTGTGAGTTCAAGCCCAGCCTGGTCTACATAGTGAGTTCTAGGACAGCTGGGGCTACAGGGAGACCCTGTCTCAAAAAGACAATAATATAATAATAATAATAATATTTGAATAGTCTCCAAAGACCAAAGGCAAAATGTTATTGTCTATGTCTCCTTTTGCTAACTACACCAGATATAGCCAAAATAGAACAACCCAAGATTGTGAACAGAGTATTTTGCACTAAAACAAAGAATTCAACATCGCCAGTACTAGAATTTGAAGAAGGAATCTGCTTTATTTATTAACATTAATGTTTAGTTTATTTCAAGGGCTAGTAGTTTATGCCTTGGTAGTTGGTTTCTTTAGCATATCTAGATTTCCCTATAACTCTCATAGTAGTATTTGTAGCATTAAAATCATCTTCCCTCATTTATCTCCCTTTCAGAATTCAGGAATGCCTCAGAACACCAATAGTATGTCATTTCTCATTCCCAACCATCTCTAAAATAGCTGCTGGTGACCTTCAAGCTATTATCCACATAAAATACAGCTCCTCATCCTGGTGTGATTTATGTGACACCAGTGTTTGTTTACCCATCTTATCTGGCCAACCACATAGATCATAGTAAACCACAGACATGCAATTTCATTATGCCAGGGAGATAAAATGCTTCCTCCCAGAGCTGCCAGAGAAGAAGGGAACTATTACATACCTTTCTTCTGATCATATAAAATAAGAATGAGGACATTAAAGAACTATTACAAGCTAGTGTTTAGACAAGTTACCTAATCCCTCTGGGCTTCAATGGTTCACTTTGGTTCTAAAATCCTCCATCCTACATCAGAAGCCAGGCATAAAGACTGAGTCAAAATGGTCCAATCTTGAATAAACGTCATCACAGAATGGAATTGTCAGAAAAAAATTATTAATGAGCAAAAACTCATTATCATGCAATCAAAAAAATTTTTCACTAGCTTGTCTGCAAAACAATCTGAAAGGCTCCTTTGGGCAGTTACAAATGTGTTCTCATTTTGGCCTAGAGCTTTGTTCTGTTAAATCATTGCCTAAAATGCAATTAATATCTCCAGTGCATCCCACATGTGGCAGGGGATACTGCCAAACACTTTTTCCAAGTCAAGTATCTCTATAAAAGGTTGAGCAAAGATCTCAAATTATTATTATGCCTTAAATATTAACATTCTCAAATCACCATGGAAACCAGATGAGGGTAAAAGCAAGGCAGGCTCCTGTAGTAGCCTGTTCCCATTCTGAAGACACCTCGAGAAACAGAATGGTTTCCTCAAGTTTGCCCCTCCCCATGATGCGCCCATGCCAACACCAGCACTCACAGCCTGGCCCCAGCCCTGTCTGGCAACGAGCCTCTTTCCATTGCAGGGTCAGAACTGTGCCTTACCACCAGCCTGCACTCCCCTGTGCATCCTCTGCCTGCTCTTTCTTCACGGTACAGTGTTCTTCCTTTCAGAGATCAACAGCAAAATGCTCTATTATGGAGAGAATCAGGAGCTTGATCCCAGCGAAATTACTGAGAAGTTGGTGTTGGCCCAGAAGATGCTGGAGGAGATTCGAAGCCGGCGGCCATTCCTCACCCAACGGGAGCTTGTGGACGAAGAGGCAGACGAGGCCCAGGAATGTAGGTGTCTTTCACTCCTGGTTAACTCTACATGTGTCTGCTTTCTTTGTGGACCCAGAAAGGACACCAAGCCACAGGGCAACATTTGGTCAGGCAACTGATTCTCAATATTGAGAGAATTATAGAATTTATTCACGGCCTCAGAGAATCACCAGGACTTGATTTATAAGCAATAGTTTGAGATGGGACCCACCTTTGAGACTTTGAGAAACTGCAGAGAGTACAAAAGGAATCTACAGAATTTTTACTCCTGTTGGGAAGAAGTAGGGACTTAGAATTTGGTAGAAAAAAATACAAAGTAAGAAAAAGAAAACTAAATTCCTAATTTCCATCTACAATAAGAGAAATTTTATTTTAAATGCCAACAATGTTGATATTCTGAGGGCCCTGAAAGACTTTTAATAACTTTTAACCTCAAATATAAATTTAACATGCCCTTAATGATAAGTATGGGCACCAAAGCACATTAGTATTATTGAACCTCTGACTTAGTCACTATATAATGTATCAATTTCTGTCTACCAATAAACCCCAAGTGTATTCATTGAAAATTGCAACTATTTATTTGAACCTCATTTCATGGGTTGGCTATTCAGGCGAAACTGAACCCCAACATTCATATGGCGTGGACTAAGCTCACTCATGTTTCTGGGGCTATCTAGGCAAGCTGGGCCTCTCCCTCCATAATATTATCCTAAGCTTAGCCTTATTCATATGACAGAGGAGACTTCTAAGAATACAAGAAAGTTCCGGGGCTCTTCAGGCCTGGTCTTGGAACTCAATCATGTCACATTTATTCCATTGGTCAAATCCAGCCCAGATCCAAAGGCTAGGGAATGGATCTTGATGAGAAGAGTTGCAAAGAATTCACACATTCAACAAAAGAAATTTTAGATTTACATATCAGATTTCAGCTATTGCCAATGTTTTGCAATACTGTGTCAGTTCATCAGTACCTCATAATTGTGGTAGTTATTACATCCATTACTAGATCTTGTTTTTTTTAGCACATTAATAAAGAAGCATATATATTATAAAGTTATTGGTTTTTATGTTAATCACTTTTAAATTGTATATATTTTACTTTGTACATTTTAAAACACATCATAAGAAGTAAGAATGCGTTCGAAGACTTCACTAGATTACAGGAGGAGTAACAAAACAGCAAAGGCCTAAGGGCACAAGCCACCTTCTCATAGATGTCACTGTCAAACTGCTGACAATTATTGTATACGCCAGAAGGGACGGTTACTGACATAAAGGTTTATTATTGTAACAAATATGTGAACTCTTAGCTCCAGGGAGAGCTAAAGAATTCTAGGCCAGTTAGAGACGCTGGAGGTTTAATATCACAGCCAGATGCTCCCAAGATCCTTGCCTATTTTGGAATTTAACCAGATTGCCACACAGAAAGGAGACCATTTACTTCTCTATTTCTTAGCCTCTTTCCATGTGATGAATGCATTTTCAACCACTTTCTTTACTGAGCCATGAACGTGTGTCTTCTCTTCACACCTATGAAAGGAAATACGAACCTCAACCAGGCAGACTAACATTCTCTGAAGAAAAAGGAATTATGATGCATAATCAACATATGTGCCTGTGAGCCAAGAATAAAGGACACTTAAAAAGAGACTACACCAGTGTTACACTATAGACATGTAATGTTTATACCGTCCAAAATCTCAATCTGAGTTTGACCCAAAGAGCTAACTGAAAACAGATAGCTGGAGAAAGCAGAGAAAATGAGTGGTTACAGACATAACCTTTGGTCCTATCACCAACAAGAACATTGTAGCTATTTTTAATAGTAAAAACCATAGTATATCCAGTTTCTCTTTACAAGATAAAACTACCAATAATCTGCATAATAAAAGGAAAAGTATAACGGTCTAGTTTCCACACAAAATGTAATCTTTACAGGAAAACTAATTAAATGCTTCTTTTGGCTGATTATGGCTCTTAAGTTCAACAAAATAGCATCTCTTACTTCAAATGCAAAATGAGGGGCTACCTTTTGTGAACAATGTCTTCAGCCTCATTCACCTAAGAGGGCAAGGCCTGAAACTCTTTCTGCCTTGCAGGGGGATCCCAGACTAAACTTGTGTCCGTTTTTTCCCCAGTGCTGAGCCAGGCTGAGAACTGGCAGCGACTGCACAACGACACTCGCTCGTTGTTCCCTGTTGTCCTGGAACAGCTGGATGACTACAATGCCAAGTTGTCAGACCTACAGGAATCCCTTAACCAGGCCCTTGACCATGTCAGGGACGCAGAAGACATGAACAGAGTCATATCAGCCGAGCAGCGGGACTATGAGGTACAGGGGGCAGTAACTGTAAATATGTGTCAGGCACAGACAGTATAGTATGAAGTTATTCCAAGAAAGGACTGTTAGTATGCAAATGTTTAAATATTTATGCACTAATTATTCACATTTTTAATATGGTTGCATTTTTTGCCTCTGTGAATTACTAATGTAGCATGTGTGCCTAGAATCAAGTTGAACTTTTAAATGTTTGGTTCTTGCTTTGGTAAGAATGTTGTGCTGGTACATTTATCCCTGCATATGGCCATGCTGCTCTGGCAAGAAGGAAAAACTAACACTATTCTTTTTTTAATATTTATTTATTATTTTTATTTATGTGTATGAGTGTATTGCCTCATTGTATGCATGTATGTAAGTAAACCTATGTCATACATGGAAGTCAGAAAATGGCGTTGGAGTCCCCTGGAGCTGGAATTACAGATGATTGTTAGCTGCCGTATGGGTTCTGGGAATCGAACCTAGGTCCTCTGCAAGAGCAGCCAATGATCTTAACTGCTGAGCCATGTCTCCACCTCCAAGGCTACATGTTTCTTATGCAACAGAATGCCCAACTGCTCAGAACTATGTGTTTTTCGTGAGTGTAGGTTTTAGAAAGGTGTAATTGTTGGAAAGACATGTCCACACGGTCCCTCTTTGATCTTCCCCATCAGCCTTCTTGACCTCTTGCTGTTCACTGGATCATGCAATCAGTCCAGATAACATCATACTATCTGCACCCCTACCTGCCTGGAAGGCAGACATTGCTCTTTTCTTTTCAATCAACTACCCCAGTCATTCTTCATTTCTTCCCTCAGAGGGCTACCACACAATCCAATCCCATAATGCCATGTGCATAGCTGTGTTTCTGTATTTTGATCATCTGTGAGTGGATCTGTGTTTCCTTTAAACTAGAAGCTCCAAGTCTTCATAGAATCGTGTGTTCTCCATCTCTAAATCCTGAAGCATCTGTCACAATGCCTGGCACAAACTAACATCTCAGCAAAAATTGTTTGACTTGGTGAACATATTTCAAGACTTTACAACTGTGAAACTTGCTTTTCTTTCAGATTGTGCCCAAGTTTATTGAAGATTTATTGTTAGTTATAAGTAATGTGATTCTTCTTTCCATGGATTTTAAATTCATACCTCTGACCTGTAGGATAATACTGCTCTATAATCAAAAAACATTCAGAGCATTTATGTAAGATAAGAATATCATTGCAGGATTGGAGAGATGGCTCAATGGTTAAGAGCACTGACTGCTCTTACAGAGGACTCATGTTCAATTCCCAGCACCCACATGGCGGCTAACAGTCATCTATAACTTCAGTCCCAAGAGATCCAACACCATCTTCTGACCTCTTCATCATTGCACGACACAGGTGCATTTACACACGTGCAGGCAATACATTCATACACATAAAATAAAAATAATAAATAAAATATATTTTTTAAAAGAATATCACTGCAAACTCAAGCAACAGTTTTAGGGGTTCATAGATGAACACCTCAAATTCTTTTCAATATGGAGAGCTTTGAAAGGTAAAGTATATCAGCCCAGTCCAGCTTCTGCAAAACAAGAACAAGTGAGAGCACTCAGGAGACGCAGGCACAACAGAGCTGTCCCCTTATCCACAAGAAGCAAAGTGGCAATGCAGAGACGGTGTTTGGGTGCATTATTATTTGTACTGGCAAACTGTGTATGGTCTTCTTTTCCAGTTGTGAGCTGTCAGTCTCCACAAGTGCTTTGTGTTCTCCATAGACCCTTGCTAGAGAACACACTCAACTGTTTTGCTCAGTTCTCCACCGACTTATAAATAATAAGCTATCTGTAAAGTCCATAACAAGTAAGAGTGGCTGATAGCAGTGTATCATAGGCATGGCCTAGCTCATTTGCCAGCATTTGCAGTAAGTGGACAGTATTGTCCATATGAAGTGACTTAGTTCTAAAAGTAAATGTGTGCCAATTTAGCTCCTAATTAAACTTTTCTTATGCACATTTTTTAAAAACCTCATGCATGTGGATACCAGGAATCTGGCATTTTAGTGATTTCAAACAGATGGTAGGCCTCATTTTAGCTTGGTTAAACAAATCCTTCTACTGAGTGCAAATGAACAACATGAGCAAAATTTCAGGGAAGAGAACAGCTTAGCACACAGCATTTGGAAGCCCCTGTCTGTCTCCCATCTCCTTCCTCTTCCTAACTCTGCAATTGGCATTAACCAGAACTCCATCGCTTTTGCTCTTGGCCTCTTCCCCTGTGATTTCTACCCCATCTCACTGCTTCATCCCTTAAAGGGGATGTGAGGGCTGCATCCTTACATCTAGCTGAGTCCACAGCCCATCTTTCATGTGCATGCCTGTCTGTGGGAATAGCCACGGGGGCATGCTCTGCTATTTCCTACTAAAAATTAACTCATTCTACTAATTCTCCATTCCTAATGTTCCGTTTCCACGGAGGCCACTTTTTTTGCCCTTTGAGTTCCAAATCTCTAATTCAGCCATTTCTTCTCTGGCTCCGTGAGTAGAGATTACTTCAGGCCCCTGGATCTTGACTGTTCACTGCTCATCTGTCTCCTGCCTAGGCTCCTGGCCTCTATCTCCCTGAGCTTATAACTGGATCCAATTTCAAGGCATCTTTATAGTCTATAAACATTATTGATTAATCTCCCTGGAAAGCCTACAGTGAAGCCAGGTGCGATTATATATACCTGTACTCTCAACACTTGGGAGGCTGTGTCAAGAAGACTACAAATTCTGGGTCAACATGGGCTACATAGTGAGGCTTTTTCTCGAAAAAGAAAAGAAAAGAAATGAAAAGGAAGGGGAAGGGAGGACTGTTCTAATCATCAACACAACCAATAAAACAGACACTTTGTCTCAGTGAGGGCTGGAAAGATGGCTCAGTGGTCAAGAGCACTTGCTGCTTTTCAAGAGGACCAGAGTTCCGTTCCTAGCACCAACAAGTGGTTTACAGCCACCTATAACTATATCTCCAGGGGATCTGACAGCCCCTTCTGGCCTTTGCAGGCACCTGCACACGTGCACACACAGGCACATGCATATACATATCAATAAAAATAAAATCTTTGAGTCTAAAGAGATTGCTCAGCAATTAAGAGTACTTGATGCTCTCGAAGAGGACCCAGGTTCAGTTCCTATCACCTACATGATGGTTAACAACTATTCATTAACTCCAGTCCCAGAAGATTGAGTGCCCTCTTTTGGCCTCCACAGATACTGCACGTGTATACTGCACATACATGCAGGCCAAACACTCATACTCATAAAATAAAAATAAATTATATAGAAAGAGATGGATAAGTAGATGATAAATAGATGGGTAGGTGGGTGGGTGATGGATGGATGGCTGGATGGATGGATGGATGGATGGATGGATGGACAGAGATAATCATGGGGTACGTGTGCTTGCCACCAAGTCTGACAGCCTGAGATTAATCCCCAAAACTCAAATGGTGGAAGGAAATGGTCAACTCATGGAAGTTGTTCTCTGACCTACACACACACACACACACATGCAAGTTAATTAATTAAATGTAATTTTTAAAAATTTTTATACAGAAACTTTAACATGAATTCCTTCAATGGCTTCCTTCTAAGAAAGGCGAACTGCTCAGTTGTCTGTGACCTGAGCCCACTTGTGGTTTCAATGATGTTTCTTGACAAAAGCTGCCTCCCAGATGTGGAGACCATGTAGTTTCCCTTCTTGTTTCCTTTGCTTTGGGGTGTTTTTGCCCATCTCTCATCTAATTCTGTCTAACCCTTAATCTAGGTTATGTGATTCACTATGCAGAATACCTTACACATTTACTAAAGTTCTTATACCCTTGCAATCTTAATCTTATTGAAAATTCAGTGAAAGCTAGGGAACCCACACACAGTTACATGCATACCATTATCCACATTCAGACATATACACACACACGCACACACACACACATACCATCCCGATATAAAAATATGTCCAGTTGTTCATACATATCAAGTAGTCCATCTTAACCCCAGGTTAGAACCTTCCCATCAGAAGGAGTGCTCCCGCCTCTGCACTGGTACAGCATCAGTTGTAGGTCTAGAATCATCATCATGCTTCATTACGCTTGGCATATATTCTGTGTTCCAGTCTCAAAGTGATCATTAATTGATAAGTGTATGACTGTGTGTCCTCTGATATGTGTAGCACACATTCAGTCTATCCCACTAGATCATAAGCATGCAAAGGGCAGCACTCTTGCTTTGTATAAAGTCCATCTCCCCAGTCCCTATCACAATGCCTTGCGTGCATCAGCTTTGTTGATAGACAAGGGCATGGCACACCCCCATGTAATCCACATATGAATTGTGTCTACTGATTACTCTTGATTATAAAAAATTCTTCCATGTGAGCTGGAGACTTCATATTACTAAGCGCCACTCTTGACATTATTTCTCTTACTTTTGCATATTGACATGTCATCAAAGTTTAAATTCTTCCAACAGGATTTAAAATCCAACATTTCATTTATACAGTAGTCTTTCCCACAGCAAATTGGTTTGAATGAATGTAAACCATGTTGGAATTTGATTCTGACTTTATGAAACAAACTTAAAATTGTCAGAACAAAAGTAAATTACACTGTCCAATTTTATTCAGTTAACTGATTGTGGTGCTGGGATCAAACCCAGGGTCTTGTGCTTGCTAGCCAACTTCTCTACTACATAACTATATTCATATCCCCAAACTTAAAAGTTTTAATTTCACATTTTACTGTAAAACCTAGTAGCATTTGTGAGACATGAACAACACCAAAATTTGATTCTTTATAGGAAACCAAAAATACCCACGGAGTTTAAACATGCTGCTGTCTGCAAACAGAAGTCACACAGCTAACGATCATGTTACTTCTTTCTCCTAACCAAAAGGTTAACAGAATATAAAAATATTATTCAAATGGAATATAAGATTCTGTATTTTAAAGTAGGTTTTTAAAAAACTTATTTAAAGGCACTATTTAGGTTATTTCACCCACCACCAAAGTGCTGCCTTCCAAGACTGCTGTATCATTTTTAGGGTTAGGAAAAAATTTCTTTTTCCTTTGCTTATGTGAAATGGATATTGTGGCCTGCTGAATATTACAAGTTATGTTATTTTGCATAAAATTTTTGTGTTATTTTTACATAACATAAAATGTTACATTTGCATAAAATAATTTATGTAATTATTAGTTTTCAAAATTTTCAAACTGACCATCTTTCTATAGGAATATATTTCTTTGTCTCAAAGGCAATTTTATTCTTCTCTCATGCATCTATGATTAGTGGGGGAGCCCCTTTTACTTGAAGCATACCATTTCCAGCTACCACAAATAAGCTCATCATGTACTGCTGTTAAGACACAGCTTGGAAACTCTATTCAGACTTCAGGCCTTCAGCAGTATTCTCTTAGAGCGACCCAGATAGAGGGGCTCACAGAAGGGGTCAGAACTCAGATCCAGTAAGGGTAAATCAGTCCAGTAACAGCTAAATAATGCCAGCCTTTTTTAACCTCCATTTCTTTACACATACTCTCTATACTGTTGTTTCTGTGTAGAGCTGTCTAATGAGCTCTCCTTCCAGAGATAAGAATAATTGGCACTAGATAATCAGATATCATTAGGTTTTTATGGACATAGGGGGGGACATTGATTTTATTAATGTTATTGCACTGAGCAATTTCAAATGTGATTCTTTTATGGCTCTATACCTATGTCTAGCCTGCAGTAGTAGAGTTGGAAAAGATGGCGTCCATTTTTCCTTCCCAGTAAGCCAGGAAAGACCACAGAGAGTAAGAAAATACATTAAGATAAACTCAGAGGCCAAGTATAGTGGCGCACGCCTTTAATCCCAGCACTCGGGAGGCAGAGGCAGGTTGATCTACATAGCAAGCTCCAGGCCAGCTGGGGCTACAGCGAGACCCTGTCTCAAAAAGAAAAAAAAAAAGATAAAACTCAGAAAGTCTAAAAAATTTTCTTCTATGACAAGGTTTCTATAATTACTATTCTATACTAGATTTCAAATCCAGCTTAAACTGTGTGTGTGTGTGTGTGTATGTGTGTGTGTGTGTGTGTGTGTGTGTTTCTGGTCTATATGTGCACCCATGCAGAAACTGGGGACCATCCAATGTCTTATTCTAGCACTCTCTTCTTCATAACCTTGAAACAGCATCTCTCGCTGAACCTGAAGCTCACAGGCTAGACAGCCAGGATATTCCAGGGTTCCTTCTGTCTTGCCCACTAATACTGGGGTTATGGGTATGCACAGCTATGCCTAGCTTGACTTTTACATGGGTTCCAGGGATTTGAACTCAAGTCCTCATGCTGGCATAGCAAATGCTCTTACCCACTGAGCCATCTCCCCAGCCCAAAATTACTAAAATAAGTTCTGCTCACTTTTTTCTCAAATGATGAAATGGCAAAATCTCTTACTTTTCCATTCAAAAGTGCAATTTGTGTTCTGGAGTCACTGAAAAGTCCACGTGTCTTCAGAGATCACAACATCCCAATTTCTAAAGCACAGTAGTGAAGGTAGAAATTAGAGTATTTTTCAAAAAATGTATTGACAATTCCCCTCCTCAAAAAGTCTGAGTAACTAACACAGAGAACTTAGAGTGTATAAAGCAAGATTGCCATTTTATACCTTCATATTAGAGGCATTTTAATCTTTCTAAAGGACTCTGGGACTGTATTTATAAACCTTGTTCCTGTCCAGACTCTTTGTGCCAAGACCAAAGCTGCCAGATAATACTTTTAAAATTAAATTATTTTCCAATTACTACAAATGTAGACTGCTGTCAAATCTATAATCCCACTTTACACTATGGAGAAGGAGGAAATAAATGCCTTCTCTAATGTGCTTGCTCTTCGAAATGATGATGTTGTAAGTGATAATCGGAAACAAAAGCTTCAAACTTCCCAAAATTATGCTTTTTGTTACCTCCATATTATGAACAAGACAGGTAGTGTTCCCCAGAAGGGCATGACGATCAAGTGATAGGGCCAGGTGAGCTTGTGTTTACCTGAGCTGAAAGACAGCAAGTTGACTTTGACACTCTCACTGATGTTTTCTGTAAAAACACAGTCCACCCCTCTCTCTCTTCTTCCTTCCTGCAGAAACAGCATGAGAGAGTGAGGGAGCAAATGGAAGTGGTGAGCGCTTCTCTGAGCGGGTCTGCAGACTCTTTGGGGACACCTCGCCTGACTCTTGAGGAGCTTGATGATATAATAAAGGTAAGCACACACCTGAGTTGTTCAGGATTATCTTCATGCCAACTTGGAATAGCAGCTCAGTGTCAGAATAATCCAGTTCAATTCAAATGACTGAGTTAGCAGGGATTCTAAACTAAGATCAGGTGATGGGGATTTCTGATTTCTTTTACTACATGGTGGCTACCAGCCACACTTGACTACTTAAATAGAAATTACTTAAAATTAAGTAAAATTAAATATTTGACTCTTCAGTTGAATTAGCCACATTTCAAGTCCTCATGAGTTATACATTTGGCTTTCAGCTACTATATTTGATGGTACAGGTATGGTCACAGTAAATTCTACTGAAACTGCTGATATAGGTCCATCCTAGCCTCTACACCTAGAAAGTTGTACATTTAACGAACTAAATCATCCATTCAATAAATGGGCTAATGAACTGAATAGATAGTTCTCAAAAGAAGAAACACAAATGACCAATAAATACTTGAAAAAGTGTTCAAAATCCTTAGCTATCAGGGAAAGGCAAATTAAAATTGCTTTGAGATTCCATCTCTCAGGCCAGTCAAAATGGCTATCATCAAGAAAGCAATTGTTGCTAAAAGTGATGGTGTACACCTTTAATCCCAGCACTCAAGAGGCAGAAGTAGGCAGAGCTTTGTGAGAGCAAGGCCAGCCTGGTCTACATAGTGACTTCCAAGCCACCCAGGGCTATAGGGAGACCCTGTCTCATAAATAAAAACAAAAAGAAAGAAAAAAAAGATAGAAGGAAAGATGGAAAGGAGGAACGGAAGGAAGGAAGGAAGGAAGGAAGGAAGGAAGGAAGGAAGGAAGGAAGGAAGGAAGGAGGAAACAAAACAGAATAAATGCTGGCAAGGTTATAAGGAAAGATGAACCCTTTTATTCACTGTCAGTGGGAGTTGGGAGTGTAAATTTGTGCAACCATTATGAAAAATCAGTATGCTACTCAAAAACAAAAATAGAACTACCTGATGACCCAGCTGTAGCATTCTTGGGTACATAACTGAAGGACTCTAAGACAACATATCACAGGGATCTTTGCTCATCCACGTTTATTGCTGCACTATTCACAGTAGACAGGAAATGAAGTCAACTAAATGTCCATCAATAGATGAATAGATAAAGTGTGGTATGTATAAACAGTGAAATTGTAGCTATAAAGAAAAATGAAATTGTGACATTTTCAAAAAGATGAATGGAACTGAAAATCATGTTAAATGAAGTGAGCCAGACTCAGAAAGAAATACTACAGGTTTTTCTCTTATAGATGGCACCTAGATTTAAAATTATATATGTGTGTGGATATATGTGTGTGTGCATTTATATACATATTTCATAAAATTAGAAAGGGGATCATGAGAGGAAAGGAAGAGATCTTAAAGGAGGGAGAAAATAGTGAAGGCAATGGAATTCATATAAGAAAGTAGAAGGGAAGACTATCTGAGGGAAGAAAGGGATCCAGCAGAGGGAGACAGGGTCACAGAGGAGGGCAGTGACAGAGAACAATAAATAAGAACAAAGTACAATGATGTATCTTATGAAAGGAGCCCATTACTTTGCATGCTAATCTAAAAAAAATTTTTTTTTAATTCAACATTAAACTAATAAGAAGCTATGCTCACCGGGAGTGGTGGCTCTCGCCTTTAATCCCAGCACTTGGGAGGCAGAGGCAGGTGGATCTCTGTGAGTTCAAGGACAGCCTGGTCTACATAGTGAGTTCCAGGCAGCTGGGGCTACAGGGAGACCCTGTCTCAAAAAGACCCCCCCCCAAAAAAAAAAGCCACACTCTTAAAATAGAAAATTGCCAATAAAATACAGTGGATCAAGTTGCCATGTAAGCACTCAACTCGTGTTGTTATTTTACCTTTGGAAGGATATCAGATTAAAGTTATCTAACCACTACCTCATTCTTTGACTACTTAAGTCCCAAGTTCCTGCCATCTTCTCTAATCCAGTGGTATCAAAATCCATATGGCTATGCCCACCAACTCTGACCGCCAGCTTTCTTAACTTCCCTCCAATCTTTTCCTCTGGCCCACCTCTGTTGTCCCTCCTAATACCACACCTGAATAGCTGAACATGACTTGTAAGAAATTCATACATCACTGGAAAATTAGAAACAAACAGCTCCCCTCATCTCTCCTTCACTGTACCAGCCACCTGTCCCTGTATCTACACTTTTGCTCGTCCTCTTTTTTAAGTGTCCCTCCCCCTGTACTCTGAATCCCATCCTTCCTTACCCTGAGAAAATGGTTGCAGGACTTCCCTCCTTCAGTCTGCTTTACCATCCACTTCTCAAACTGAATTGAATCCTTATTTTCAATGCATAACTTACTCTAGAATTTTAAACACAAAAAAGAAAACCACCTGTATTAGTCACTTTTCTATTGCTGTGATAAAACACTGACCAAGGCAACTTATAGAAGGAAGAGTCTATTTGGCTTACAATTCCAGAGGGATTAGAGTCCATAATGGCAGAGAGGCATGGCAGCAGGAGGTGGTGGAACAGAAAATCAGCGGATCATCACATCATCAGGCAGGCACAAGCCTCTTAAGCAGAGGCTTAAGAACTCTCAAAGCCCACCCCAGTGACCTGCTTCCTCTGGCATGGCCACATCTCCCAAAACCTCCCAAAACAGCACCACCAACTGGAGACAAAATATGCAAATACTTGGAGCCTATGGGGACATTTTCATTCAAACCACCACACCACCCTTTGAAAACAATACTGTTGATGAAAAGCTTAAAGGCCCTCTGACCTTCACCCCATTACTCTGTTCAGCTTCATAGCCAAATGTCTTGAGTCAATTGCTCTTTCTGCCTCCTAGCCCCCCTCTGTCTACTGAACTCAACCCACTCGGCTTCAGATCTCCCAGCCCCCCTTTAACACTATTCTCTACATCCTCTGTGTGATAAATATTTTAGACAGCAGACCACATATTGCCACTGTCCTTTGTCCTTTGTTATCACTGAACAACCTTTGAAAAAATGTGAATATATTCTTAGCTCAGGATTATGTAAAAACAAGCTCTATGAACCTGGTACTGGGCTGTGCTGGTCTCTGGAGAATGGTGGCTTGGTGTTTGGTGTGAAGTCCTTTTTTCCAGCTGTATCTCTCCTAGTTGACCTCATTGGGTCTGATGGCTTTAAAGAAAGGTACACAAATGATTCCATAGTTTATATTTCCAGATCTGACCCCTCTGTTGAGCTCCAAACCTTTATAGACAAATGCCTACTGGACATTGCCAAGTCAGAAAGTGGTGGAGTGTGTCACAAAATCAGAATTTCATCTACCTCATGATAAGCACATCAAACCACATATTTTGAATAAAGGCTGCTCCATTCCATCCTCTCCCATCTCAGTAATGGTGCAACCCAGCTGTTCAAAGCCAAACTGCCAAGTCGTTCCTCAATTCCTTCTGGTCATTGCTATTTTATTAAGACTTTTTGGCCCTCTATCCAAAATAAACCCTGGTTTCTGGCTCCCTCCTCATCTCTACTGTTGCTCTCTAGTTCTAATCAGCTTATCTCCAGTGTGCACTACCACGAAAACCTCCTAACTGATGCAGTTGCCTCTACTGTTGGCCCTCCAAATGCATTCCTTATGCATTAGCAAAAACATCCTTTTAAAACAGTCAGACTATGTTATTTCTCCTCTACTGACAATGTGAGCATCATACTCATTCTGCCATGATCCATGAGGTCCTATGACCTGGCTCCCACCCACCTCTCCAGCCTCATGTCTTGCTGTCTTCCTCGCTTACCACACAACAGCCCAAACTCTCATTTTCCAATATACCATACTGGGAGCTGGAGAGATGGCTCAGCGGTTAAGATCACTGCCTACACTGGCTGCTCTTGCAGAGGACCCAGGTTGAATTCCCAGCACCCACATGGCAACTAACAACCATTGGTAGCTCCAGTTCCAGGGGAATCCGACACCCTCTTCTTATTTTTGTGGGCATTGCATGACACAGGTGCACTTAAACGCATGTGGGCAATACACTCACATAAAATAAAAATAATAAATAAAATATTCAAATATACCATACTTATTCTTCCCTCAGGACCTTTGTACCTGCTGTCCCCAGATTGTTAAATGACTGGTACCGTGACTGTTTAATCCAAGTGGGTCCTTTATCTTCAGTCACTCTCCACCCCATCCCACCTGTTATACTTTATTAAAAATAGCTTCTACTTTCTAAAATTAGCTTGCCCACTTCTTGATCGCTGTTGATTATCTGTGCTTTCCCACTAGACTACAGCCCTGGAAAGCAGTGACTGTGTTTATGTCTTCTGTCTTGGGACTCTCCAACACGGAGTAGGCACACAGAGGATACTTGCTAAAGAACAAGACGATAACAAATAAAGGGACAATATCCAGGATGCTTTTTCTTTCATATAGAATGAAAAATGTTTTTCAAAATATAATTTCCCCAAGTGACCAACCAAATGGTTAAAAGCTTATTATAACCTCTAAAAACTAAATCTTATGTGTTAGAAACTGTGATCCAATCTAGAAATGAAAAAATAATTCAAACTCAGTTCTTGCCTTCTAATAAGTGAAATAACCATGTACAATGATTACAGTAATGTGCAGATGAATAATAGAAACCTCTGGAAACACTGGCTCACCCAGGGGAAGTTAGAAATGACTGCATAATGGAAGTAATACTTGAGCGGAATTTGGAAGCATAAGTAGACATTTTCCAAGTATATCCCATTGAGAAGAAGAAAGAAAATTTATTCCAGACAGGGAAAACATTATGTGGAAAGGTTACGAGTGGCCACAGACATGTCCAGCACTAACACAGCCACTTAGACAAGACTGGACAGTGAGATCCAGTGGAGAGAAATGATTATATCAGCAGGGAAGGAAAACCTAGCCCTTGGGTTTATTCTTGCAAATCATCACTTTTGCTGCAAGATGATGGAAGCAGATAAAAAGCCTTAAAGTCTCAGCTCAAAGAGAACTATCGATTACTCTCTGTCAAACCTTCTCAGTCCATTTCTCCCCTGAGTAGTGTGAGGAGGAAGATCTACCTGATGGATAAATTTGGGGAGAGTTAGCTGTTCAGGCCCTGCTCAAGTCTGCCCTCTTCTCCTTAGAGAAAGCTGCTGGCAGAAGCCTGTTTCCTTGTGTTCCTTCACAAGAATAGTTCTGGAGGCAGAAGCTCTCCTGGGGATCACATTCTCACCTGTCTAGGTGGATGTCACTGTACTTCTTAGACTGAGCGCAGTTACCATTTGGCTGAGGCAGTAAGACATGCTTTAAACTCAGCAGCATCTGAAATAAAATGGCATGATTGGTCTCCATAATTACTGCTTTTTGCCCAACTTGGTTAGAACTTGGGTGCTGGCAAGGAGGGCTCCTTATTGGTAGATGCCCTAGAGAGATTTTGCTATAAAGGGAATAGAAAGTAGTACAGTAATTAGATGTACAGATAATGAAAGCTTTTTATTAGTTCTCCATTTAGAAAGGAAATGGATCATGTCTAAATAATAAGGAAGCAATCAGGGGGAATGGGATGAAGATACAAGATGCATAGGTAAATCTTTTATAGTATTTTGGGCCTGAAATTTAATGAATTTTACGGTAAGAAGAAAAATGTTTCATTTTTCTTGTTATCTGAGGAAACTGTTTTGCTTCTCTAAACTCAAGTCACTTATTTTTTTTCTTTAGAATGCATCAGGAATTTATGCAGAAATAGATGGAGCCAAAAATGAGCTACAAGGAAAACTATCCAATCTAAGTAACCTCAGTCATGATTTAGTCCAAGAAGCTACTGACCACGCATACAACCTTCAACAAGAAGCTGAAGAGCTGAGCAGGTGACATTGAGTTTTAGAACTACAAACATCTACACCACCTGAACTGAATAAGACATTTGCATTCAATTCCATGCCAGAGTTACTAGGATACGGTGTTAGCAAGTAGATTAAGGTTGGGTTTGCTTGGTTGCTAATTTGTTAGTTGTTTCCTCTAAAAGCCAATCATTTTTTGCAACTGCTTTTGGGAGGCAGGTTTTTAATTAAAAAAAAAAAAGTCTTTGGCATTAGAAACTTGTGCTCTAGGTAAGGGTGCAAGTGGAGTCTGTTCCACAATTAATAAGGTGACTGGGGCAGTAAATCACATCCTTTCCCAAGGTCTGATTCTACCATCATCACCTGCTTATTTCAGAGAAAGCATTTATTTCCCATACCCAAGTAATTGAAGTAAAGCTGGCTGGGAGTTAGCAGTATAACTGACTTCTGGGAAACTCAACTTTCTTCAGGCCCAACAGGAAATGTTGAATTTCAACACCTGTTAAGAGAAAATCAATTGACAATTTTCCTTGTAGCACTACAATGGAGTCACACACTCTTTGGACACTCAATTAATGTTAATTGAAATGTACTGAAAGATTGGAATTGAATTCATGACCCTGAAATAGGTAAATAATGAGATAATTGTAGATAAAGACTACCAATCTGGCAGCTAGAAACAAGCACCTGTAAAGGTCAGGCGTAAAGAACCAAGATTAACTTCTGTTCCAAACACACGTCACCTTTTAACTCCTGTTCAACAAAAGTTTCAAACGCCTTTCCAGATTGGGGAGGAGTAATAAAAGATGGGAAGAAAGAGGGAGAGGGAGGGGGAAGAAGAGGCAGAGAGACAGAGAGAAGGAAATCTTGGTGTACAAGATGTTATAGTACTGGTGTGTTATAGTATATCCAGTTTTGTGTCATACCTCTAGGAAATGTGCTTTTAATGGAAGCAATAAAATGGATTTAGATAAAATGTGAGGTTTGTGGACATCACGTGTTGGTTGATCATTAGTTTTGAGCTGTCCTCTGGCTCTCATCATTCCTCCATCATTACAGTAGTCCCTTCCCACTGACGGTCAGTGCCCACAGCAGTTGTCTCTAAGTGTCTTCCTGCAGTGGTGATCCATCAAGGCTCCATGGATGCTACATTTTACTTGCACCACAATCATGAATTTCAATCACCCTGATGGCATGTTGTGTTTAGAATGTTTCTGACTGAACCTACTCATAGAATCGTTCAAATTTATAGATCTGTCTCCCCCAAAATGTGTAGACTGAAGATTCTTTAACATATGCCTGGTGTACACAATGATTTTCATGTTGTGCACAAAGACATAAAGAACTTTCAGTTCTAAAGCACTTTTTAAATTTTTTAAGGTTTATTTTTATTTTTTTTATTTGTGTGTGTGTGTGTCTGTGTGTCTGTGTGTGTGTATGCACATGAGTACAGGTGCCTATGGAGGCTTCCAGAAGAGTGCATCAGATCCCCTGGAGCAAGAATTATAGGCAGTTGTGTGCCACCCTATGTGGATGCAGAGAACCAAACTCAGATCCTCTAGAAGAATAGCTCTTAACCACTGAGCCATCTCTCCAACCCCTTGAAAGCACTTTTTCACAACGTTGACATAATACTTGTTTGTGCCTACAGCCAGGTACAGAAGGCTTTGTTCCTGGCTCTTCAGTATTTCTACCATTCTAATTAACAGAATCTTAAAACATTAATATTTTAATATGACCTTTAATTTTTTTATCTCCTTCTTTAGGGGGTGGATTTTTTTTTTTTTTTGAGACAATGTCTCATGTAGCCCATGCTGGTCTCCAACTTGCTTTTTGTCCAAGGATACCTTGAACTTCTGATCCTCCTGCACCTCTCTCCCAAGGACTGGGATTGCAGGTGTCTGCTACTGCACTCTTGTTTTATGTGGCCCCAGGGATTGAACCCAGCACTTTGTGCACACTATGTCACTCTTTTAATTTTATTTTTGGTCTCTTGGACAAGGTCTTGGGGTCTTACTATGTAGACTTGCTTTTTGTCCAAGGATACCTTGAACTTCTGATCCTCCTGCACCTCTCTCCCAAGGACTGGGATTGCAGGTGTCTGCTACTGCACTCTTGTTTTATGTGGCCCCAGGGATTGAACCCAGCACTTTGTGCACACTATGTCACTCTTTTAATTTTATTTTTGGTCTCTTGGACAAGGTCTTGGGGTCTTACTATGTAGCCTAAACTGGCTTAGAACTCACTACATAACCCAGGCTGACCTCAAACTCATGGTAGTCCATCTGCTTCTGCCTCCTGAGTGCTGGCAGGTATAATATCCCTTTTCTTTTACAACTTTTGTTTTTGCCTACATTCTTCAGAGTTTACTCTCAGAACCTTTTCTAAGAAGGGAGTCATGGGGAGGAGAAAGTAGAGAACATTTGGATTGGAATCACCTCCTCCAAACAAATCGACATGGCAATTTTTGTGGGCCACAGGCACTCTTGCTAGGACTAATCTCTTTCTCCAAAACATTAATAACTGTTTCATGACTACAATAGTATGAAGACTAAAATAATCATTTTATTATCCTCATTTAAAAATATTCTAATGAAGTGTTTTTGTGGATCCCGGCTGTATCCAACGAACAAGTCAGTCCTGCTACTAGGACAGGATGATTGCAGTGCTGGACAGAAAGAAGAAGCTGAGGAAATAGAGAGGAAGTCACTCAACCCATAGTCACACTGGGCCTGGGCCAGACAGAAGAGGCTGAGAAGCGTGGGTGTTTGAAAGAAAAGAGTCGCGCGTGGGGTCTTGTAGTCTGAGCACAGAACATCTAGTGCGAGTGATAAAATGATACCAGTCATCAGTGTTTGGAACTGAGAGAAAAATAAGGAGCTGCTGGTGTTGAGATAAATAAAACACAAAGGATTTAGGGTGAGCCTTGGAAGTAAGAGTTTGCATGAAGGCAATTTAGAAGTATTTGTCGATGAAATAAATTATGTGGACTACACAGTTTGCAGTTCCTATTCAGGAAGTAGTCCTGAAGTTGAGTGGACGCTCGGTGCAGGATGTAAGAACTTACATATCTCATCCTTGTTATGCCTCATATGAACCCTTAGAAGGCATGCTTATTTGCCCCTGTGTGCGACAGCTCCCAGTATGTGAAGGGTACTCAATAAATGTTCCATGAACATTCCCCAGGCTAGGAAGACACAAAGCCAAGAACATGGTATCTAGGAGCAGAGGTGAAACTAGGCCAGGTTAGGGCTGTTTGAGGAATAAAACAAACCTTAGCAAACCAACATGTGGCCTGGCTAGCTTAGCACATTGTCTCGGAGCCTCGCTTCTAGTATGAAGGGAGAATAATGCTGACTGGGTAAAGAGAAGTGGGGAAGACTACGACTTCAGGCCTTAAACAAACTCGCGCAGGAAGAGGAGCAAAGGGCTGTTTTTAAAATTGCCATTCTCATTTTCAACAGCTGCTGCCTGGCAACAGCTGTCATGGAGCCCCAGTGGGATGATGCCCTGGGGGCAGCATAGGAAGAGGCATGCAAGCATGATGTACCCCCAGGCAGGGTGACTCAGGAAAACCTTCCAAGACAGGTGGCTTCATAGCCCGGAAGAGGTGGTGTCTGTGATCCCAGAAGTATCCAAATCAAATCTAAAATGATCCCATTTTCTAAGGAAATAAGGATAAACAACAAATTCATCTGTTAACAGGAATTTGCACAGTTCCGACATGAACGGACTAGTACAGAAGGCTTTGGATGCATCAAATGTCTATGAAAATATTGCCAATTACGTCATCGAAGCCAATGAAACAGCAGAATTTGCTTTGAACATCACTGACCGGATTTATGATGTGAGTGTTCCTTCTTCTTAGAATTTATATATTTATGTATTTGTGTGTGTTGTCTCTTCCCTCTTTGCTTTCTTCTCTCTCTATTTTTTAGCAGACTCTGTTCTTTTTCTCATTCATGTCATTGTCCCTTGCTCTTATTCACCACTGTGCTCCATCATCCCTCCTCCCCCACTCGATGGTCCTCTTCCTCCCTCTAAATAGTCCCCTTCTGCTTTGATGGTGTATGTATATATGTATGCATGTATGTATGTATGTATGTACATGCATGTATGTATGCATGTATGTATATATGCATATATGTGTGTATGTATGTATGATTTTGTTTTCTAATGCCATTCCTTGACCATCCACTACAAAATAAAAATGTTAGAAAAGTCGGGGGAACTATTTTGTACCATGCAGTTTTGGGTTTGCAAGTTTCTCAAGATTTGCTGTACTCTAATTAGCAAATGTTAGTTTCTTTGGAGAGTTTTGTTTGTTGGTTTTTGATTTTTGTTTGTTTGTTTTGTTGCCAAAGCCCCTCGAGGAAACAATTTGAGACTAGTTTCTGCTAACAGAGAAGATGTCTTAGGCATGCATTTATATGTTTAACTCAAAATTATTTATCCAGTGGCTTTTTTGTGACAAGTGCTTCGTTGGAGCCTTGATCAAAGTGCTATTCTAGGTTTACTGACCTTTTCCTGGAAAAAAAATTATTTTGAAAATGCCAAAGGCACTGTTTCCTTCTCTCTCCATTTGACCTTCTTTTCTGAGCTGTGAAAATGACACTGCATGAATTCTGTGGGGTGTTTAAGCAGATAAATGGAATCACTTGATTTCTAAAGCCGTGAAAAGCTGACACTCCTGCTTCCTTCTTACCCTCTCTGCCCACTTGCTTTGTAGGCTGTGAGTGGGATCGATACCCAGATCATTTACCATAAGGATGAAAGTGACAACCTTCTCAATCAAGCCAGAGAACTACAAGCAAAGGCAGATTCCAGTAAATACCCCTTGCCCCTCTTCCTTCTGATTTATAGCAACTGCCTTCCTTTCATAAATCTAGATGGGGATTTTTGAAATCTAGGCTTAAAGAGTAAATAATATTCTGAATAATACATCAATAGCTCAGAAGCAAGTCACAGAACAGCAGATTTAATATTTCAAAGTAAATTTTTGAAAAACAGCTTCCATGTGGTAAACATATATTTATATGGAAACATATATTTAGCCAACATATGATGAAAATCTTTTCTAATCAAATGAGTGGTTAATAGAAGCATCATAATAACAATGTTCAAGGAGGTAAGACCATAAAATATACAGAATGGTAAAACTATGTTGCACAGAATTTAGTTTTCTTTGAACAATTCGGGAAGCCCTTTACATTTCTTACTGTGAAGGGAATGATTGCCCTGGTGAGAACTGTTGAGGATGACTGGATGCCACAAGCCATCTGGTTGTTTCCACTTCTTGTAGCTTGTGTTTTGCAGTTGATGGCTGTGAGGACAAGCCTAATAACTGGATGGAAAGAAGCGTTTCCCAAGGCCACGCATACCAGCTACTAAAGCAAGCACATCCAAGAACAAGATAGGGAAGGGGGGAAGTGAAGCTACTGTAGTCCATTTTAAATTGCAGCAGTTACTCTTAAAACAACTGAATGGCCCATGCCTTTAATCCCACCACTGGGAGGGAGAGGCGGGTGGATTTCTGTGAGATCCCGTCCAGCCTGGTCTACATAATGAGTTCCAGGCCAGCTGGGGCTACAGGGAGACCCTGTCTGAAGGGTGGTCCATGCCTTTAATCCCAGCACTTGGGAGACAGGGGCAGGCAGACCTCTGTGAGTTCAAGGCCAGCCAAGTCTTCATAGTGAGTTCCAGGCCAGGTGCAGCTACAGGAAGACCCTATCTCAAAAAAAAAAAAAAAAAAGGGTCAAAAGAAAACAAAACAAAAAAAACAAAATAACTGAGTGGATTAAGAATTTCATTGAATTGTTCCTCATTGCTGAGTTCCTGGACTCATTCCTAAGGATATTTGAGCACTGACTAATGAGTTAGAAATTCATTGTCTAGGTTAACATCTATTAACTAAAATCAAGTCCATTTTAAAACTGAAAACTTCATGAAATTTTATCAAAGCAATTAATCTGAAGTCAACAATGCATTTTTTAATTCTTTCGTTGTCCTCTTTTGAAAGGAAAAAAGATGCTATATAGAGATTGAACACACTTTGATTTTCATATTCCGAATGCTAATTACCACAAAGCAACTGTTAAATTATGCTTTCTAGGTTAACAAAGGTAATTAAAATGCTATTAAGTTTCTCTGTCCTAATTCATCATATAATTCTAATTAATTTTTTTATATAATTTTAATTCTGAGTATACTTTCTAGAAAGTAATCAGAATAGTAATGGTAAAGAATTAGAATGCTAGCAGCAAAATATTTTTAAAGACATATGTTACCATATCTATTGCCGCGAGCCGGGACTCTGTCCAGCAGAGTCCAGGAAAGACGACACAGACACCAAGGTGAGGTTCAAGCTTCTGTTTCTCTTTCTCCTTTATTCTCTCTTATTCTCTCTCATGTTCTCTTCACTATGATGCTGGCTCTCTATGATGCTGGTCTCTTATGATGCTGTGTCCTTATGATGCTGTGTCCTCACTATTACACACTTCAGCTCTTTATATAGCGTATTCCAACAGCCCTCCCCCCAGCCGGTATCAATCAGGGCTACACACGTGCAGCGGCCAGGCAGAGTGTAGCTCATAGGCATGTAGCAAGATCACCAGGCTGGCAGCACCTGTTTGGCCTCTCCATACTTTGGAGTAAGCAAGCGGGAATCACGAGCCTTGGCAATCAGCCAAGAGTTGGAGTAAACAGCACGAGGTTTGGCAGCCAGCCAGGGCGCCATCTGGCTGACTCAGCTGTGCTCGCTTCCCACAATCTATATAATGCTTTTCTGTGTGGTAAGGATTACCATGTGTGGGTTCTTATGACACAGTTACAAAAATTCTCCTTGATGATTCATAACATGTCTTCTCAGTCCTATCATTGAGTCGTTGAACCTCTTGAAAACAACCCTCCTATCTAGAAAAGACATCTCTTCGGAGTCCATATTTTATGTCTACTAAAGCTCTCTGCATCAGTTTCTTTGAATATTTTGCAGATCTGGTCACATATTTCATCATCATTTTTTGGTTAGATTCTTTCCCTTGTATAAGAGACAAGGGAAAGGGATTAGGGCACAGGACCCTAAACTTGATAGGACTCCCTCCCTTAGGCAGTAGCCATGTTTTTAATATAAACATGAGTGATCATCTACTGAGTTACATCAAACTTTCAGATGACTCCTTCTTATTTCCAAGTGTCTTTTTGTAGTAAGTAGAGTTTATTCCCAGCTTTCTTCCCTTTTCATTGTCTATAACAAAGAGCCAACTATCGGTACTAAACTCAAGAATCTGCGATTTAACAAAATCTACTGAAAAGAACAGCTTCCAACAAGAAACACTTTTAATGACACGTTTCTTTTTTATAATATCCAGGACAAAATAGATTCTCCCCTCATTTTTATCAAGAGTTCCAAATACCGAGTTAAATAAAGCAATGTTTCATGTAGTCACAGACCCAAAAGCAAGAGCTAAAAGCATTTTTATATGACCATGTCTGGAAAACGGACACTTCAAAAAGGACAGGCGGTTTAATACAACTAAAATGTGTAGGTAAGTCACAGTTGGAATTCTTGGAAATTCTCAGAATCCTGGAGGAAATAAGCGCTTGTTCCCTTTTTACATTGTACTTGGTGACACTGTACTTGGTGACTGCACTACCTCATTTGTATTTGTAATACACCACAATAAACAAAACACTCAAAAAATGTAAGAAGGGCCTATGGGAGGGTGAATATTTGTAAGCCCTCTGGAGAGAAGCAAAGGATAATGAGAAGTGAGGCAATTGCTTTGCTGTTTCTCAAGAAGTGTAAATTTCCTGATGCTTTCAAAGTAAACTAAACACAAACAGAAACCACTAGGTACTGGGAAAGCTGATCCTTCACTTTATATAGAGATGTAACATCATGACTTACTAGGGATTTGCTCAAAGATAATCCCAGTTTAGGAACAGTGCCCCAAGAACATTTTCAAGAACAATTTTTAAGAAAAAATAATAAAAAAATAATACTCAAAGATTAGATGTTATGATAGAACTGTATACACGTACAGTAATATAGTCCTTTTAAACAGAAACTAAATTCTCCTGTGAAGAAACCTTCAGGATTCCAGTGAATTCTTTCAAAATTTTAAAGAAGAAATGGCACCACTTTTATACAAACTCTTCCAAGAAATAAAGAACATATATTCTCTAACTTGTTCTATAAAATCAACAGAATTTAAATATCAAAACCTATAAGATATAGAAAAAAAGAAAATGCAAGCCAAATTCTCTTACAAAGAGACAAAAGAAATCCTACTCAAGATAGCAAATCCACCAGGTGTGGTGGCTCATGTCTGTTATGCCAGCATTTAGGGGTCTGACCATGAAGGTCAAGGCCAGACTAGGCTACAGACTAAGACCCTAGCTCAAAAACCAAACAAACAGGGCTGGAGAGATGGCTCAGTGGTTAAGAGCACTGGTTGCTCCTGCAGAGGAACTGGGTTCGATTCCCAGCACCCGCATGGCGGATAACAACCATCCTAACTCCAATTCTAAGAGAATCCAATGCCCTCTTCTCATAGATATGCATTGCATGACATGGGTACACTTGCACACATACAGGTAATATACTCATACATATAAAATAAAAATAACAATTTTTTTTAAAATCAAAGATTAGCAAATCAACCAGGCATGATGGCTCACACCAGTAACCCCAGCATCAGGGCATTCAGGAGATTGCAGCAGGAGACTGATCACAAGTTCGAGCCCACACTAGGTTAAAGAGTAAGACTCTAGAAAAAACAAACAAAAGCTATTATCAAAGCAAATCTAGCAAGCATAGAAATGGTAACATATATTGAACAAGATAAATTTATTATGGAATTTCCAAGACTTTATAACATTCGAAACTTCAGTTGTAGCTCACCACATTTACAAAATGCAAGAGAAAATTCATATGATAATCTCAATATTCACAAGAAAATCATTTAATAAAACAGCACCAAGACTTTTTAAAACAAGAAGCAAGAGAAAGTTTTATAATCTAATAAAAATAGAACAATATTTAGCAAACATATTCATAATAAATATTAAAAGTCTTCTCAAATCAGGGATATCCCCACTATCAATTCAATGTATAAATGTCCAGCTTAATTTTATAAAAAGACCTAGAAATAAAAATTTTAAAATAATACCATTTGCAGCATCATTGAATACTCATAAAAATTAATAGACAGGATTATGATTTTTACATACAGAACTATAGTACATGGCTGAAAAAAGTAAGAAAAATCTAAAATGGAATCTAGTATTGTATACAATTTATACATACTAAAAACTCTAAATAATATATTCAAGTAAAAGTTTAAAGGTAATATAAATACCATATCCATTGAGATGAGCTCTCAACTCTGTAAAATTGACAGTTCTGCCAATTTCTCTATAGGTATGATACAATGCCAATTAAAACCATAACTCTGTGAATGCGTAGATAGATCAACTCTGGAATTTCTTTGGGAAGAGAGGGGAAGATGCCTATAGCCAAAATAATCTTGAATAAGAACAAAAATGGAAGACTTAAACAATGAAATATCAAAAATTATTATAACTTTATAGATATCAAAACAAAGATTCTAAAAAAGATCCAAAAGAGTCTGGTATTTTATTATGTCTTTTGGATGGAGTTTAAAACCAGACAATGGCAGATAGAACTCAGAAGAGTCGGTGTATCTAGGTAATTATTCAGGGTCCCAAGGAACTTGGTAGGTGTTCATAATCTATTTTGATGAGTTTGGTGCAGTTGTATTTTGTTTCATTGTTTGAAAATTCATCAAGCTGTGTACATAGAATCTGTGCCCTTTTCTAGATACATGTTATACATATATATGTTTATATATATAAATAATGTTTATTGAAAGTAATAAGAAAAAGGATTCTCATATAGCTAGTCATTGTCCTGTAAATAGATAAATTTCTCTTCCGCTCTTCACCATTTGTGCAGGCTAGTTGTTATTAGTCACAGCCTTGCTGTCTTTGAAAGAAATTAGCATCATAGCGTCCTCAGTCACTCCCAACTGATGTTCCATGTTTTCTGTCATCTCGTATCTCTTATTCTTAAGGCCATTTTCCAGAATTGATCATCTGTTTTTAGAATAGTATATTATTTCAGATGAGTTTATGATACAAACCAGAACTTATGCTTTTGAGATGAGGCTTGTTCTGGGCATTTGGACCTGCTGGCACTTCTCTCTGCTTCTCCACAGGCAATGATGAAGCTGTGGCTGACACCAGCAGGCGTGTCGGAGGAGCCCTAGCAAGGAAGGGGGCCCTTAAAAACAGACTGAATGATGCTGTTAAGCGACTACAGACAGCAGAGAGGGGTAAGTCAGAGTTGTGCGTGTTTGTTCACAGGCGTATAGGACAACCCTTCAGGGGAAAATTAGGTGATTCCTTGTCAATCTTTTCATATATTAATTTTTTCTTTCTGATGACAAAAGAAACAGTGTTCATTACCTCCCAAAAATTGCCCTAAGAAAAATAAAGCTGTAATCTTGGCACCCAGAGATGAGCTTTAAATTGAGAGCATTTTCTATCTTTTCTCTGTGCCCGTATTCATGTGCTGCATATGTATTTGAATGGGTCTGCTGTTTATAGTGCTTGGTGACTCTCCTGTGAACACCCATCTTGGCTAACAATATGCCCTAATTTGGTCATTGGATTCCTTTGGCCCCACTGTAAACAGCTTCCTTCTGTTATATGTCAAGTTAGTCTTATCAAATAAGCAGGGAAGTCACTGAGCCAACTAGAGAAATACACGCATTGGCTTTGGCTAATCTGGGACTCCGGTGGTGTCTTGGAAAGCTGTGATTGGAAGCGGACGCATCTTCACAGGCATGGCAACAGTTAAGACACTGATGCTGGATGCTGGTGTTTTGCTGAAGTGAACCAGCCTTGGGCACAGTACTGTAGAACCTGAATGCTCGGGCAGGAGAGGGCGTGTGCACTGAGAAGCCTTTCCAGGCTACTGCTGATTGATGCTTACTGCTGCTTGCTGGACTCTGTGCTGGAATTCACAGACCTAACCTAAGGGAATCAAAGTCACTATTGCCTTTCAGCTGACAAGAACACGGATGCTTGCCGCAGTTAGAGCACTTACTCCAACAGGCATAGCTAGTAGGAAAGAGAGTTAAGATTCAAAACAGCATTCACCAGAATCCAGAGCATGCAAGGTTAAATGAAACATCGCTTCACTTTAAAAGCTTGAAGTGACTTCTGATTATTTTTTTATCAGTAACACATCAGCCTTATGGAAAAAAGCAAAAACACAGATAAGAGAAAGCAGGAAAATCACCTATAATCCCATCACCTAGACAAACTTTTATTATTGTAAATTTTCATATCTTTATTTTAAATATGTAATATTTTTTAAATATTTTACTTATTTTCTTTTTAATGTGTGAGTGTCTTGCCTGCGTGTGTGTAAGCACACCCATGTCATGCAGTTCCTGGAGAGATCAGAAGGTGTCAAATCCCCTGGAACTGGAGTAACAGATGGTTGGTTGTTAGCTGACATGTGGGTGCTGGGAATCAAACCTGGGTTAAGAACAGTCAGTGCTCTTAAGCACTGAGCCATCTCCCCAGCCCCAAATATGTCATAATTTTTTGAATCTTTGTATGTGTTTGATATGTGTGTGCGTGGGTGCTTGCACAGGTGGGCGCACATGCACACAAGGTGTGTGTGCACCACAGCATGCTGTGGAAGTCAAAGAACAACCTCGGGTGCTGATCCGCAATAGCTACCTTCTTTAAGACAGTGTTTGAGACAGGCTCTCTTTATTCGCCCCTAGCTGGCCCACCACCTTCTAGGGAGTCTCCCATCTTTACCTCCCATATTACCAAAGGAGCTCTGAGATTACACACGCACACCACATCTGGCTTTATGTGGGTTCTGGGGGAGTTCCAGCCTAAATATTTAATAATTTTAAAATAAAAATTACATTGTAATATTAAAACTTTCCTGAAACTTACTTGTATTTTGAAAAAAATACCTTTTCTTGTTAGTTTACTTCCATACTAAATGTAACATCACTTTTATGGCAAAAATGTTCCACAGAATATTCTTTCATAAAAGGAAGAGACATATATGATTAATTTCAGATGTGAGCATCATACAAGTTAAAACTTCATATGCACTTTCTGTGACTTTCTAACCAGATTGCTAACCGGGGGAAGTACTATTGGTCTTTTTGTTGTTGCTGTAATTTACCTCTTAATTTAAAAATATTTTCAATAAACTGCTTGGTATTAATGAGCTGCAGAGTCTTGCAAATTCTCATATTAATACTGTTTATCATATCCTAGTTCATTTAGCGTATACCGTGATTAACCTCTGTTTAAAAGTCATAGTCTTCTTTAACATCCTCAAATTTGAAGTCTGCTTCATTCCTGTGGTGAAAATTATGTCAGTGCTCTCCAGCAAATGTCCTATTGCCCTTCAGAGTGAATGCCCTTCTGCTCTGTGTGCAGGGGATGCCCAGCACCGCCTGGACCAGTCCAAGCTGGTCATCGAGGAGGCCAACAAGACGACAATGGAGGTCCAACAGGTCACTGCTCCGATGGCCAACAATCTCAACAACTGGTCTCAAAACCTGCAAACTTTTGACTCTTCTGCGTATAACACTGCAGTGGACTCAGCTCAAGATGCAGGTATCTCTTACAAGCTTCCCAGTTTTGTTTTTATTTTACTTTTTATTGAATTTTTGTAATTTTCATATAACACAGTTTGATGGTATTTAGCTCCCCTCCCCATCCGCACCACCCCCCATTGCCCGCACCCCAATTTAAAGTACTCTCATATATATAATATGGCCTATAAAGTGTGATTGGTGTCACCAAATGTCCTTCAGTGTGGGTCCATCCCTGGGCCCACCCAGAGTCCCATTCCTGTAAGACACTGTCTCTCCCGCCTCTCAGCAGCCATCAATTGCCAAAAGTTCCTTAGGGTGGGTAGCTCAGAAACTTCCCATTAAACTCTACACATCTTTTGATAGGACATGGTTTACTCCTTTGGGGTTTTAGGTTGGAATGCTGTAGAAGCTAATTTAGAAAAGAGAAACATTTTCATCTGTTTTCTTATCTATATGCTTGTACTCATACGAAATACATGTAAATTTCACATAAACTATAGGCAAATTGAAGTAATTTTTTCTATGTGAAATAATGGTAACAATTATTTTTATCAATATAAGATAGATCCTTTAGGGTAAAAGTTTCATCAAATGCTAGAGAATAGTGAAATACTGTCTCATTTTAGGAAATAAACTATTAAGTGGAATTTCTTTTACTAAAGACCATTTAGGCCTTCTGCCTACCTAAATAAATACGGATATTATCAACAAATACCACATATGTGTGTTGGCCAATTTAAATATTCAATTTTATAGCAATTTTATAGTGTATAGATAGTAAAAATCACTTAATAGCTGAGAAATTTCCTTTACTCCTTTCACATATTTTTATTCAGACGCGTCATAACTTCTCAGATATCGATGTCTACCAATATCACAACAAATCAGGACTAAAATTCTTAGTCATTCTCTACAAGCCGTCCTCCAAAATAGTTTTACAGACTCTATTTCTTTCACTTGCATCTGAATTCGGAAATAGTCATGAATCTATATGTGCTCTGTCTAGCACTAGAAATTCTACCATGATTTACAAATACCCATTGTCATAGCAGGAAAATAGATCTTCTACACCACTTTTTTCATATGTATTCATGAGTTCATCCATGTACCTACTCATTTAATTTTTCTTGACTTTTTACCTTTAAAACATTAATCATGTTCAGTGGTAGCGCACTAGTCTAAAATGTGTAAAGTCCTAGGTTTTATTGCTAGCATCGAAAAAAACACCCTGTCCACACATAAATATTCAGTATTTCTTGCCTTGGGAATATTTGCTTATCTGTACTAAATTTCTTTTTCTTCTTTTTTCATTTGTCCTATCAAGTTGTCATAATAATCTCCCAGGACTGGCACCAACTGAAATTGTTTCAGGTTGCTGCATTTTCCTCAAAGAGCTTTTTTTTGGTCCAAAACAAAGTAAATTAGGGGTTGGAGAGATGACTCAGAGGTTAAGAGCACTACCTGCTGTTACAGAGGACCTGGGTTCTGTTCCCAGTACCCACATGGCGACTAATAACCATTCATAACTCCAGTTCCAGGAAATTCAACACCCTCTTCTGACCTCTGTGAGCACTGCACAACACAGGTACACTTATACATGCAGGCAATACCTTCGTACATGTAAAATAAATAATAATAATAAATAAAATATTTTAAAACAAAGTAAATTAAACAACATACCATAATATGTTAGAGTCTATATAAAGTGGTTTCCTTTTTCTAAGAAGATTGAAGGTAAAAGGTGACCCTGTCTTATATACAATTCCATGAGCAAAATCTAATGCAATGCTTCAGATACAGTTTATTGCTTTTACTCTTTATAGATCACTACAGTATAAAATGGCTACTGTAGTCAGTGCTCCAATATTCACCTCTGTGTTGATCAATACAATAAAGTAACAGTTGCTATTATCTTAATTCTACCCCTTGTCCTAGAGAAGCATCTTGCTTCTCCCAAGTGCAAAGACATATCCCAGTTCTCACTGAAATATTTCCTGAATCTGAATTTAGTTTGGCTCTTGTAGGAGGCTTGCTGTGGTCTGATGCTCGATGACAGGATGCTGCACTCAGAAAGGACACTAATTCTCTGGGCTAGTGGTTCTCAAACATTAGCATGCTCCAGAATCCCCTGGAGAGTTTGTTGAGCAGATTGCTGGACCCCACACCCAGAACTTCTCATTCAGTAGGTTTGGGATGAGCCAAAAAATTTGCAGATCCAATGGGCCAGTGAGTGGCCCAGCAGGCAAAGCCTCCAGCCTCCAAGTCCAATGGCCTGAGTTCCATCCCTAGGACCCACAGGGTAGAAGGAGATAACTGACTTCCACAAGTTGTCCTCTGATCTCTACACGTGCACCATAGCATACATACACATAGATGCATACAATTGTGCATACACACATACATACACAATAAGTAAAATATAATGATAATTTTAAAGAGTTTTCATGTCCAGATTCATTGGGAGGCTGATGATGTTGACTCAAGGACCACACTTGAAGAACCACTGTGCAACTGATAAAAACTGGGGGAAAATCATGCCATTCTCTATGTTCAGTGTTTCTCCCCTCAGCCTGTACCCTATTAACTTGTGTTCTTCTCCATATATATAATGAATTCAAAAAATAGAAGGTGGATCTGGAGAGATGGCTCAGTGGTCAAGAGCACTGGCTGCTCTTACAGAAGACCCAGGTTCAAATCCCAGCACCCACATGGGTGCTAACGACCATCCATAACTCCAGTTCCAGGGGATCCAATACCATCTTCCATCCTCTGAGAGCACTGTATGACACAGGTACACTTACATACATGCAGGTAATACACTCCCACATGAAATAAAAATTAAAAAATAGAACTTGTAGGAAGGCAGTAGCTCAGTCATAGGCCTGGCGAGGGAGCCCAGCTGAACTAGGCTGGATGAGGGAAATATGTGCATTGCCCTAACCTCTTCCTCTCTTTTGCTGCCCCCCCCACTTGTCTCCTAAACAACCAAGGGTTGTTGTGTTATTGAAGGAAGTTCAGGACCAAAAGAGGAGGAAAGAAAGGAAGAGAGGAAGGGAGGGAGAGAGGGAAGGAGGGAGGGAGGGAGAAAGGAAGGAGAAAAGTCAGTGCAATCTGCTTTCAGCATCATGTCTGGGCTGTCGTCTAAAACTACAAGGCCACCCCCTCTTACCGTGCACAGCTGCCTCTTTGCTGGGTGCTCCTGGTTCCTTCTATCTAACTCTGCCTCCACTGCAATAGTACCATCAGCAGCAATGTGATGTCCACATAACTTCTCGAAAAACAACTTTCTCCCCTTCACCCAGTAAAATTCCTTTTCACTTATTATTTTTTGTTTGTTTTTTCAATTTTTACAAAAACTTTATTGAGAATTTCATACATGCATATAAAGTGTTTTGATCAACTCCATGCCTGCTCCCTCCCCTCCAACACCTCCCATATCTCCCCATCACTTTTTTTTCTTTTCTTTTTTTTTCCTCTTTCATTTATTTATTTTTATGGGCTTTTGGCTACTCCAACATTCCCCCCTCTGAAGAGATAACCCTAAAATCTTTTAAGAATTAGATACAAGCTCCAAAATACTTATGACATTTTTGGCCTTTGGAACAGAGTATGTTGCTAAGAGGCCCAAGGACATTTTGACTTTTAACCAAGAAATTGGCTACTTTTCTTTGGGGTCTTTTTACCCTAACTGCCTAGCCAATTCCTACCTCCTATTTTTATCACTCCATCTTCTGAAGGGGTTACCTAAATTGCCAATAGGGAATCAAGACATCAGGATGCAGACTGCTCTGGCTTCTTCCATGCTGAACAGGGACACAGGGTGAGGCAACTTGTAATGCTAATAACTCTTGCCTTTACTTCTCCTTCACATCTCCTAGTCACAATTCAAGGACTTTCTTTTCCCCTCAGAGATAAGAGTTATGCAATTTGGGAGTCTTTTAGATAGACCCCTTTCACTTATTCTATCAATCTATATTAGGAATGCCTGGAACCTGAGATACATGATTAAGGGAACATCTGTATGTTGATCATGGTGCCTGCCCTTTAGAAATACACATTATGAGTCAGCATGTTCCACATTCCATTTACAAATCAATACGTACACTAAATGTCACAAGAAGAATGGATTATGCTTTGGGCTTTACTATTCATTTTGTAGGGTTAAAGATAATGTCCTATAGTTCGACCAGAGATAATGTTATGCTCACTGTCTCTTCACTTGAGTCTTAAAATATAATTAACATTGAGACATTTATTCAAGTGACTCATTTTTCTTATTGCAGTAAGAAATCTCACAGAGGTTGTCCCCCAGCTCCTGGATCAGCTTCGTACTGTGGAGCAGAAGCGGCCTGCAAGCAATGTCTCTGCCAGCATCCAGAGGATCCGAGAGCTCATTGCTCAGACCAGGAGTGTTGCCAGCAAGGTATGTGATAAGAGGTGCCATCAGTCACTGAAGGATAATGAGAACTGACTTCCAACTCCTCAGCAGCTTCTGAAGCCTGGAGCCTTTCTACCATATTATTTTCTAAGGTCACATGAGAAGCTTTGAAAATTAAACCAGTCAGGTGGTGGCATGTGCCTGCAATCCCAGCACTAGGAGGCAGAGACAGGAGGATCATAGCACATTTGAGGCCAGCCTTACACAGAAAATTCCAGGCCTTCCAGGCCTACAGAGCAAGATCGTGTCTCAAAAATAAAATACAAATAAATAAACATACAAATAATTTTTAAAGCAAAGTAATTCCTAGTCCCAGTGTCAGACTGACAAACGGTTCAACACCTATAGTATTTTGTTACTTGATTATTCTAGTGTGTAGCCAAAATGAAGTTCTGTTCAACAAAGCTCATAAACAAAAGAAATCAAGTTAAGTTTCGATAAAAAGACTCAATTCAATATTATAATTAATCATTTTAACAGCTGTGTTAATGCAATTACTATACGGAATAATCTTGCCCATCTGTCTCACCTCTTCAAGAATTCCCTGGTAAAACATGTACTATATGAAGGTTTTAGTGATCATGCTGCAGGCTTACCTGAGGAGTCATGAATGGAAAAAACTAAACAAATACCCTGGTCTGAGATTCTATTACAGAGGCAGTCTAGGAACAAGTTATCTACCTCTGGTGTTGGTCAGAGCACATCCTGACACAACAATTAACATTTTCAGTGTAGCAAAAGAGGGCTCATGTGTGGGCCCTTCTTCAGTTTGTTTTTATTGATTTATAGACTAGCCTCATTTTTACAACAAAATTATGTGGTTTTATTTTCTCCGTTAGGAATTACACTGAACAGGCTACTAGCCCTAAGGACTGACAGAATAAGAGATCTATTATTTTATAATGTTGGGGATTATTCCTAGTAAATAAACCCAACTTTCAAGAGATTTCTAACTAATAGTTCTGTCTTACAATTACCTTATTTGGATACTTCAGTGACTATTTCAGAAAAGACTATTTTAAAGATACAGTAAGAAACATCATTTTAAGCTGGGTGTGGTAGCACACATCTATAATCCCAGAACTTGGGAAGCTGAAGCAGGAGAATTATGGGTTCAGGGCCAGCCTGAGTTACATAAGAAATTTCCAGGACCCTGTCTAAATAAATAAATAAATAGTGGCATTTTAGAAACAAAGTTTCTATTAGTGTTTTCTTGAACTCTTCTTCAATGGTGTTTATATGGAGTCCAACATTGGAACTCCAATCACAAAACAAGGCACTACACAAAGACTGTGCACAGCCATTGGCACTAGTTCATCTCCAGAATGTGGCATTTTTCATCTACACATGTAGCTTCTCAGACTCTCAGTTTTCACAGAAATACTCAGTGCCACACACTGCTCAATTGTTTGTTGAGATATATTATTGCTCTCTACCAAACTGACATCAGAAGACAGCCATGCTCCAAGTACTGGAGAATAGAATCTTGAGCCTAGCTGATTATCAACATCAACAAAACCAATATTAGTTGATGTAAATACATCTAATTATTCAAGAAGGTTTATACAGGCAGCATGGGTATACACATTGCCAAATGCCCTAAGAATCCCCAGCAAATCAGATCAGTCCCTCATGTCGTATTGGGCCTCTAATGTTCTGAACTTGTACTTTACCCTGATGCTTTTCTGCAAATCATTATAAGAAATGGCTAAAGGAATTTCTTATCACAATTATTATAATGAGAGAGCCAGGGACTGGAAAGTACTTTATAGTTATCATCTTGTTTTGTTCTCACAGCCTGTTTACTATGTCATTTTACAGATGAGGAGACAGAATGCTGACAGACTTGCTTAAAGTTGCCTAGTTATTAAATGAAGTGGCAGGTGTCCAAAACAGAAGTCTGTACCTAACACTGACTGTCCAGGTGTGGTTAGGGATGCTTCTCACAGCTTCTTTCTGTCCATCCTGCTTTTGTGATGAAGCGAACCTTAAATCCAAGTAGAGAGTAGCTGGTTACTCCCATAATATTCATGCCACCATTGCCAGCCCAGTTGTTATTGTAGTTCACAGGATTCTCAGCTGGGTCAAGTTGATGATTATACTTTCCTTCCAGTAGCATACAGTACCTTCCATTACCATGAAGGCTAGCCAGTAGAAATGAGGCTCTAAAGTCAGCACCAGTTTGATTTTGCCCTTATTTGTTCTACAACTCATGTATGTAGTATCTTCAGCAAGAGGGTCTTACAATTCACTTGGGCAACCAAGAGCAGGGGCAATGGGGCCCTTGGTCAACAGCTTCTAGAGAGGGAGTCCATCCCTGGAACTGAGGTGGATTTTTTTCATTATCCTATGATGCCTAGATGAGGCAGTGTCCCCCATTATAGGGTAGCTCCTTTGAATCTCTTCCTATAATGTATATGTACACTTTAGGAAGCTTCTATAGAGGTGGGTTTCCATGTGGCTTTTTCTGAAGGTCTTTGTTGTTACTTATCCTTCTCCATCCTTCAAAGCACTTTTAATGGAACAACTTTGTAACTGCAGATCCAAGTCTCCATGATGTTTGATGGCCAGTCAGCTGTTGAAGTACACCCCAAAGCCAGCGTGGATGACCTGAAGGCCTTCACGTCCATCAGCTTGTATATGAAGCCACCTGTGAAGCAGCCAGAGCTGGCTGGGACTGGGACTGCAGACCAGTTTGTCCTCTACCTGGGAAGCAAAAATGTAAGCACATGGGAATTTAAAGGAAAGGATAGTATTATCCTCTGCCTTAAACAAAGCTACCTAGAAAAGCAAATTCTCATGCAAGTCATGATTGAAAGGCAAGAAAGACCCTCTGCATGGGGGATGTTTTTAGATTGCTACCTTGCAGTATCCTGTTAGTAACTTGAATGAGTCTGAACAAAGCTTTTAAACAGCCTTTGGAATAACTCAGCCTATGTATACTGATGCTGAATCCTGTTTGAAGATACATAGCAATTGGTTTTGTCAAGATGCATTATACCCCTGGGTTAAGCTGACAACACTAGCATACTCCTGGCAGATGCTTCCCTCTCTCCTGACCCACACCCCAACCTGGGAAGCACACTTTGATGCAGTCCTAGAGAAGCTGGAAATGGAAAGCTGATGCCAGTCTAACAGCAACTTAGAGTGATACTTCAAGCCAGAAATTGTTTGTATATATCAAGTCTTCAGACTGATGATGATGCTTTGAAGAAATATAGATGATACTCATTTGTATGAACTGTACTTAGTGACTCCTTGACATTTCAGGTCAAAAAAGAGTATATGGGTCTTGCAATAAAAAATGATAACCTGGTATACATTTATAATCTGGGAACTAAGGATGTGGAGATTCCCCTGGACTCCAAACCCGTCAGTTCCTGGCCTGCTTACTTTAGTATCGTCAAGATTGAGAGGTAAGGGAACCTGTGAAAAGGGGCTCACTTATACGGACATTTCATAAGAAATCAATTGAACACACACAGTCTTCCTATGGATGTTAGAAGCATTTTCTTTTTCATCTTATTCTTTTTTCTTCCATTATTACCACCGTTCTTTCCAAACACGAGAAAAAGGAGATATTACAAAAACTTATCATTTCTAAATAACAGTCTGGTATCAGATTGTTTTACCTCACCTCATTTTTTTAAAATGAGATATCTTAGGGCCGGGCACGGTGGCGCACGCCTTTAATCCCAGCACTCGGGAGGCAGAGGCAGGCGGATCCCTGTGAGTTCAAGGCCAGCCTGGTCTACATAGTGAGTTCCAGGACAGCTGGGGCTACAGGGAGACCCTGTCTCAAAAAGATCGAAAAAAAAAAATGAGATATCTTTTTTCTACTTTCCTTTGATCTTTGATATTCTATATGTGCTCAATAATGTGATAAAATCAAACCACCAATTTTGTGATGAAGTGATACTAACATTTTGACATTATGAAAGTATTTTCTACCAATTGTCGGCCTAAAAAGAGTGAAAACGCCTTTGTTCACCAGGGTTGGGAAACACGGAAAGGTGTTTTTGACAGTCCCAAGTCTCAGCAGCACCGCAGAAGAAAAGTTTATTAAGAAGGGAGAGTTTGCAGGAGATGATTCCTTGCTGGATCTGGACCCCGAGGACACTGTATTTTATGTTGGTGGGGTGCCTTCAAACTTCAAGGTGAGCTAAGCAGCTATATTTGGCTTAGTACAAATCTTCAGTGGTTCTTTTAATCCATAAACCTATAATGACTGGAGGCCAAAGCAACTCTAATAACTACTCTATAGCCAACACTTGAAGATCAACTGATTTCATTCTGATATATGTAAAGGTAATTAATATTATCCCCAGGGTAAGAATTACTATGATCTGCTACAAGGATGTTCTTAACTTGGGGTGCCACTGGCTTGGATCCAGACTCCAGCATTGCAGATGGCAATTTCAAAAACCGCTACGTTAGCTATATAGATGCATTATAGAGTATCTGAGACAAGAGCAGATAGGGCCTAAGGGAGAAGACGAGACCTGAAAAAGTGTGGATCAAGGAAAGGCCCAAGATGTAGAGAGTCTATCTAGTCTTCCATCCCGATACTTTTGCTTACTAGCTGTGGGCATATGTAAAACCAACAAAGCACTGCTCGTTTAAGTAGTTTGGTGTAGAGCTGATACAAACCCTGGTCTGAAGAGATGTTTATGGAAATGGGTAGGTCCCTTTGACATGCAGTCAACTTTATTTCCTGTTTTTCAATGTCTGGATGAAGCATGGCCATGGCGTAATTAATTTTATTTCTCTGTTGCACAGCTCCCTGCCAGCTTAAACCTACCAGGTTACTCAGGCTGCCTGGAGTTGGCCACTCTGAATAATGACGTGATCAGCTTGTACAACTTTAAGCACATCTATAATATGGATCCCTCCAAATCAGTGCCCTGTGCCAGGTAAGAGACAGTGAAGAGCGTGAAATCCTTCAATAGTCAGGCACAAGAAGCTGGTAGGACAAGTGTGAGTCAATACGCAGATTCTTAAACTTATCTATGGAGAAAATACTTGTGAAACTGCATAATTGCCAGGCCTATGGCACATTCTTCAGTTTTTCTCTGCCACAGATGAGCATATACAGTATTAAAAATTATTCATTTTTATAGCTTTGATTTAGGAGTCCACAGATAAGCATGCACAGTATTAAAAAATTATTCTTTTTTGTATATTTGATTTAGGAGTCCAGGATCAGGGGTTTCTTTGAAGACATCGGTTATTGGGAAATTCCTTTAAAACAGTTTACCTAATTCATTTATGAACACTTCATTTCTTCCCTGCAGATAACAGGACTTCATTTAAACACTATCAAGTCAATGGAAGACACTCTGAAAACTGGTTCATTCTCACTTGGAAAACATAACATAAATTGTAACGTTCCTATGACCCTGTGTTTCCATTTCAGAGATAAACTGGCTTTCACTCAGAGTCGGGCTGCAAGTTACTTCTTTGATGGCTCCAGCTATGCCGTGGTGAGGGACATCACAAGGAGAGGGAAATTCGGTCAAGTGACTCGCTTTGACATAGAAGTTCGAACACCAGCTGACAATGGCCTTGTGCTCCTGATGGTCAATGGAGTGAGTTTTTAAAAAACTCCTACCTCTCCTCCAGGCTCTTTGCTTTCTGGTATTCATCTTTCCAGGAACTGCCCCCGCCCCAGTTGAGTGTGCCATGCCATCAAACTGAACATCTAGTTTAGAAAGCAAAACTGGATTTTTTTCTTCAGAGAAGCTATGATAGCAATAAATTAAAATAATCCTAAGATTCGCTTCTCCACACTACATTTTTAATCTATAATAGCTCACACCCAAGATATGTAGCGTATGTATGTATTTGTAAAGGCATCTGTCCTTATAAACAATATACGTGTGGTAAGTACAAACATACATATACAGACATCCAAAAGCAGTGATAAAATTAAATTTTATAAACTAAAATTTTAAAATATAAATATTTTAACAAAATTAATTCTTATTAATGATACAGAAACTTTTGCTCTTACTAAAGGTTGTCTTAATAAATGACAATGGTAGTGAGAATGAGATGATCAAACATGCTAAATACTTTTGAAATTCTTTTTCAATGCTTTGTAATATAGTGATTCAAGAATATAATCCTAACCCACACTGAAGGACATTTGGGGACACAAATCAGACTCTAAGGCTGTCTTATATATCTAGTAGAGTATATTAAATTGAGCAGGAGGCAGTGAGGGGAGGTGTAAGTAGAGAAGGGGATCTGAATACCATCAAACAAGATTTTATGAAAACTGCAAAACTTCCATAAAATTAAGTTTAAATACATAATTCTAAATTCAATTTATTTCATTGCTAAGTTTTATTGGCTGTCATAACTGGATAGAACACCTCCCCAAAATAAAAAATATAAAGTATGTATCATTAGCTGTGCCTACTAAATCATGCACATTTTATTTAATTTCATGCTCCAATTGGCAAAGGTAATCTTTTATACTTGGCTGGCACATTATTCTCTTTCCGGATGTCAGTTCTTCTATGCGAATCAGATATCGTATCATTTTGTAAACTTTAATAAAATAGCACCAATCCAGGAAAAGTCTTCATTTCAAGGATTTTTAAACAGATTATAGATTTCTTCTCACAAGAATTTTGAAAGTACGAGATATGACTTAAAGCTGTGATTAGTGATTGGGGTTTTCCACATGATGACAGAGTCATTCTACAGTGCTGTTTTTCTGAGAAGATAAAAAGAATTGGTGATGAGGAAAAATAAATATATATTTCAAAATTTAAAAAACTAGTGCAGATATAAGAGGTTTTATGAAGAAGACTGTGTCAACTAATGTGATTTACTGTGTTATTTCCATACATGCATACGTTAGGCACTGTCTTTAATCTGCCCTTTGTGTAAACACTCTCTCCTCCCTTCTCTCCCCATTTCTCAATTCAGTTAAATCTGACTCTGCTTCGTAATGGCAGATGCTCTCACCTCACACCTTCTTTCTCTCTACAGAGTATGTTTTTCAGCCTAGAAATGCGCAATGGCTACCTTCATGTGTTCTATGACTTTGGATTCAGCAATGGCCCTGTGCATCTTGAAGACACATTGAAAAAAGCCCAAATTAATGATGCAAAATACCACGAGGTACAATCACTATGGTTTGGGTGGTTTGGATTTTTACACTTAGATCTCTTTATCATCAGGAGACCAATGAAATAGGTGGGCGAGTAAACACTTTCACATCTACAGAGCAGCTGATGAACCCTTATCTATTCAACCTCAAAAAGCACATGTCAACCTCTAATAAAAGTCACTAGAATATCCCTTTTAATTAAAATAAATTCATTGACCAAAAGACTCCTGTTATCTTAATATCTTGATTAAAAAGATAGCTCTCATGTTATATTAGGTTAACTCAAACACACACAGAAAGGGTTGCAGTGAAACTTTGGAAAATATTAGATATGTCAACTCAATCAGGCTGGTAATATGATGGGTATTTCCATATGTTCAAATTTATCAAATTGTATAACTTAAATATGTGCACTTTGTACATCAATTATCCCTTAACCAAGCTTTTTTAAAAAGGAAATAGAGGCTTATAATTCCTTTGCAAATCCCCTCAGGAGAAGCAGAAGAAAATAAGATACTAGGTGTCCTAGTTTCTTCTTCATTGCTGTGACAAAACACTCTGATCAATACCAACTTGGGGAGGAAAGGGTTTATTCAGCTTACATCTCCCAGGTCGCAGTTCATCAGGGAGCCCAAGGTAGGAACTCAGGGCAGGAACCTGGAAGCAGGAGCTGGAGCACAGGCCATGGAGGAGCGCTGCTTACTGGCTTGCTCCCCTGGCCCCTGCTCAGCCTGCTTTCTTATGCAACACAGGCCCACCTGCCCAGGTATGACACCACCCACAGTGGGCTGGGCCTTCCCACATCACTCATCAAGAAGATGCCCTTCAGACATGGCCACAGGCCAGTCCAATAGAGGAAATTCCTCGATTGAGGCTCCCTCAACCCAGGTGTATCAAGTTGACACTAAAGCTATCCAGCATACTAGGTCTCATGGAAAAATTTTGCCTGGGCCAATTCCCTTTCCATAAAGGGATTTTCCCCCAGGAAATGTGAACTGCTAGTTATAAAAGAAATAACTTTCATACCTGTGAATAAAAAGGAAGCTCTATTCCTATCTTATGGACAAACAAGAACAACATGGAGGACCAGCTGTAACAGCCAGAATAGTTAAAATGTATGTCTGCCAAAAACTAATTATTAGATAGATTCACAATACCTTATTTTTCCCAGATCTCAATCATTTACCACAATGACAAGAAAATGATTTTGGTAGTTGACAGACGGCATGTCAAGAGTATGGATAATGAAAAGATGAAAATACCTTTCACAGACATCTACGTTGGGGGTGCTCCCCCAGAAGTTTTACAGTCCAGGTAAGGCTTTTTATTAATAGCTGTTCATTGTTAATGATGTACTAGTGCATTCAACACCCAAGTTTAAACCCCCTGCTTTTGCTTTTACACACCTCCCACAGGTAGACACACACACACATTCACGAACCAGTAAACACATTTCACAAGCCAGTCATTATGATCTCCTTAAATCAGCATCTCATGAATGTAATTTACAGGTTTCTTTAATATAACATTACTTTTAGAAAATGGTCTAATGTATTTCTCAACAAGAGGAAAAGCAGGACTCACCCTCCCATCTCCCCCACCGGTCTCTCTTCCTAGCCTGGGTCCTGTCCCATTCCTAGTCTTAGCGCCCCAGACACCCGGGACCCACCACTGCTTCTTCCTGATCCCGGGCCTCCAGAGCAACACAGTTCCTTCTCAGGACTAGCCTGCTTCTGGGCCTGGCCCTGCCCTCACCTAACTGCTTCCCCTCTCTCTGACCTGCAGGCTTCTCTCTCCTGGGTAGGTCAGTCGGACCCTCCGAGCCTTGATTCCCCTAGCCTCATGCACCCTCCCATTTCCCCACTGGTCTCTCCACCTAGCCTGGGTCCTGTCCCATTCCTTGTCTTGGCACCCCACACATGGGGAACCACCACTGCTTCCTGATCCTTTGCATCCAGACAGACTCAGTTCCTTCTCAGGTCCCCAAAAGGACTCTGGGCCTGGCCCCGCCTATACCTTCCTCTGCCTCCCTGGGTCTGCACAACCCCCAGCCTCTTTCCTGGAGGACAGGGCTGACTTTTCCTCTTCCTGGTCCTTTGCATCCAGACCAACCCAGCCCCTCAGTGCAGACCCCAGGGGGCCTAGGGGGCCGCCTCCCGCCCCCATCTCCCTTCGCACCTCCGGGTGCACAGCCACCAGCTGCCCTAGACCAGCATCTTTCCTGGCCAGGCTCCCTAACCCTCAAATTCCTGAGGCCAAAACCTATACTGGAGGGATCCAGACCTTAGGAGAAAGCCTGAGAGCATCTGATCCTCATCTGACTTGGGCCTCTTGGGAACTCCCAAAGACAAAAGCAATCTGGCCACTCCAATATAAAATTAAAAGAGAGAACTGGAAGCTTAGACAAACCAGCTTTTCATGTCCCCAAAATAAACCACAAAGACATAAAAAGTTCACAAAAAAAGCAGAC